GGGTGCCGGGAGGGGCCGCGGGGAGCGCGGCCGCGGCGGCCGCAGCGCAGGTGAGCGAGGGGGAGGCGCGGGCCTTGGCGCGGCCGTTGGCGCTGCCGTTGAGGCGGCCGTTGGCGCGGCCGTTAGGGCGGCCGTTGGCCGGGGCCACCCCGCGGGCCGAGTAAGCGCAGCCCCTGCGAGCCCCCCGGCCGGCGGGTCCCCCTACGCCGCAGCCTTCCCTAGGGAGCGGCGGTGACGCTTCGGGAAGCGGCTTCTGGCCGGCGGGGTCGGCGGTGACGCTCCCCTCGCTTTCGGCAGCGGCCTCATCACCGTCACCCCACAGCTGGACGGGGCCCTCTCCCTGCACCCCCAGCCTGCAGCGCCGCCCTTATCCCCCAGGGGTTCCTGGCTGCCTGTTGCCCACGGGGTTGGCGCTGCTCTCCGCCACCCGCGGGTGTTCGTGCGCGGTAGCGGGGCGGCCTCGCCACCTGCAAGGCTGGCACTGGGCTGCTCGCGAGCGCTGGTGGCGGTGCCGTTTCCGCCGTGCGTGCCGCGTTGGACGGGTGCTTCGGCAGGGCCTCCGAGATGCCCCTCCTTGACCACAGCGTCTTCCAGCTCCAAGGCTGTGCTCGCGATCGCGGCCATCAGCGGCACACAAAGATCCCAGACCGTGTTGCTGGCATCCAGGAGTTGCCCCATCCTCCATGGAGTGGGCTTGGGATGGAGGAAGCCGACGGGCAGAGCAGTAGCCGTTTGACACACCAAGGCAGTGGCGGGCTTAGAATGGAACTTTGCCAGTTGTCGCTGCTCCAGCTCTCATTTCAACCACTAAATACACTGTTTCTCACTAGATGCTTCCTCAGACACCTCTGAAAGCGTAGTTGACTGACTGTGAACTTGCCTAACGGGCTGCTTGAAAGTTTCCATCAGGACGAGGCTTCAAGTCCTCCTGTCAGATGCTTTTCTTGCTCTCTGATGTTCCTCTGCCTCTCTAGTCATGCTGTTTTACTTCCAGAATGAGGTATGGCCTTAAACTTCTATTTCTCTTAAGCTGCTCCTCTTTCCCTCCCTCTGCCTTTTACTTGTGTCTGCATCTGGGGTCCGACTGAGCTCTGTGATCCCTTTGCTCTTTCCCTCGTTGCCCTGGGCCTGGAAGCCCCATAGTTCTGCAGTCGTTACTACCACATGCACATCCTGCTTTCCTCTCTCTTTCCTTGCTGACAGCCCCTTTACTCATCTGCCCTGCACACAAACAAGGTTAGCTCTGGTCAAGATTACATTAGTGTAGTTCTGCTTCCCATTATTTTTGCCTGTGAGCCTCTTCTATGGTGGTGTGCATGTATAAGGCAGGCACTGAGGGCTGTCGGCTCTCAGAAGAGCATTTTTATTTCAGTAAGGCAAGGATAAGCCAAGAGATTCCATGGATCCAGTGGCTGCTCCTTGTAGTTGTCCTTGTAGTTGTTGCAGCCAGGGCCACCTCCTTGCAAGTGGCAATGCATGGTGACTGCATTGGTGGTTGACATATTGATGCATTGAACGTGCTGATTTTTGTTATGTAAATGCCAACTTATCCCAACCTTGCTGATAGGGAAAGGGCCCTCTGCTTTAGTCTAATGGAGTGTATAGGCAAAGTGATGAGTAAAGGCGATCAGCAAGGGGCTAAGAAATCCCTAATAAAGGGCATCATAGGAGCAATGTAACTGAGTGCCTGCTGTGCAGACACTGAAAGAACAGCAGGTTGCTATTGGCAGAATGAATGAATGGATGCTCAGAATTGTCTGGCAGGATCTAAGAGATCAGGGTACAAATCAGAAACTTGATAATGTGCAGAAACCTTTCTTTGACTTTTGTTTTGTTAGAAGCAAGTCTTATTAAGTTAAACTAAATAAAGCAGATTAGAATATTTATCCTAAGGTTTGAGGAAATGAATGTTGAACATACCCAAGCATCATTTTGGAGGGATGTGCACTATTTAAACACTTCTCAACCTTACAGGGGTCCTAGTTTTCTCCTCCTTCAGAAGCCGAGTTTTTCCCTTGTGTGAACATGCTGGAGAAGGAACCAGAGACATGTAGAAGTGTAGTGCAGCTCTTAGGTTAATGGTGAGGGTGCAGTACTCACCCTGGAACTAAAGGACAGCAAAGATGGCCTAAAGCACAGCAGGGCTCCAGGTCTGCATTTGATGGAGAGACGAATGGAAATGGGAAAAGAAACATCTTTTTTTTACACATGAGGGTAAAATCTATCCTGTTAATGCCTCCTCCAGAATTAGTGATGTGGGCAGATATTTGAGAAGGCATCGAAGCTGCCCTGGTGCTGTAAAAGGTGCCGCTACCCGAATGGCCAGGCTGAGCCACTCTGCGTGCCGGCGCGCAGAAGGCGGCTGTGAGAATTTGGTTCAGTTCATTTTGGGTCAGCCAGGCTGGCCCTGCTCTCTGACTGCCTCGCTGGTGTTTAGAAAGGAGCCAGCACCTAGCCTGCCTCGAGGGACATGCTCAGCTGGGGTGAGCGGGTAGCGCAACAGGCACTTGGAGCTCCCTGGACAGGCAAATCCAGACCCTGGGGTTGTGCTTCTAGCGCCCTTCACCAGCACGTGTGCCTTATTCCTAAATGACCAGGCAGGTTGTCACAGCTTGTCAGCAACTACAGCTGCAAAAGCCAGTCTTGCTCTGAGTTTCTGCTGGTTGTAACCTCCTCAAGGGAATAACTAGGAAATCTTACGGCACAAGGGAGGCAGGAGTGGCTTGTTTGTGCTGCACAGGGAGACTGAGTGCCGGGCGTCTCAATGTGAATATCCAACTAGTCCTGCAAGGGTAGGAGGCCTTCTCCAAAATTCCCACCCATGGTCACAGTTGACTGGCTTGTATGTCTCTAGGGGCACTTGCTTACCTGCTCTGAGAGTTTTCCAAGTCCGTGCTTTGAGGGGAAGTTTTGCATTAATTTTGTGGTCTGTTAATGCTCAACTGTCTGGTTCTTGCCATCAACGTACCGTAAACAGCTTCTATCAAGCAGTACAGTCCAGGGGACTGTTTTACCGTATGACCCCCTCTAAAAAGGTGAACGCAAACTTGAAACATCTCCAGAGCACTCAGTGACCTGGCTCTGCCTGTGTCCGTGGAAGCTCAGGCGTGGTTAACATGAGCCAAGTGTTGGAGTGGTGTGGTAGAGATGGGCCACGCACATCTGGACATAAAAATTCCCGTGGTCTCCTCCCCCAGCAAAGCCGGTGCCTGCAATGAAAGTGACTTCCTGCTGTCTCCCACGCTGCATGCATCACCTGTGAGCGCTGTGCCACTCGCTTCTTATAAACTTGAGAGGTATTTTTGTAGTCCTAGGGCTTAGTAATTCTGTAATCTGTTTGTAGGCGTTAGAGCTTCCGTGTGTGTCTAAGGCAGCAGCCTCACAGAGGTTTGTGGAGCAGCGCTCTGGGTGTGAGCTTGCTAGCTCACTGCTTGCTTCTTTTTATTTTTTTTTTTCTCTTCATTCTCAACAGCAGTTTAGTTGTAAACACCAGAGCTGTGGTTGATAAACTTTATAGGAGGAGATGGTGTTTGTGCTTTCTGTGGTGACTGCTGCTTTAAATCCTGACTGGGTAATTTTAAATGCACCTGTTCCATTCTGCATAAAAGCAGCCTTTACCTACAACTGTGCAGGCCTCAAGGTGTATTATGAACTGGGCATGTGTTGCCTCTTGCGCCTCGTGTTGTACCTACATGCACTACTGTAATGCTGGGTTTTACCTTCTGACTCAGCGAGCGAACGGCTGGACTGGCGCTGTGTAAATGTCAGCTCTGCCGCGGTGCTCTGTGCGCTGCAGGAAAGCTGTGCCTTTCTGGTGCTCGCTCTAGTTCATGGGAGATGAAGCCTTAAGGACAGCAAAGCGATCTGTAGCTTTCTCTCAGAATAACAAACTAAAGCAGAAGGGGGGGAGGATGCTGAGGGCTTGCCTTCACTAGAAAGCTGCGAGTTTTTTGTATTTATTTATTTATTTATTTATTTATTTCCACTTCTTTTTTCTACCCAGTGAGAAAGAATCTGGGCATTTTAAGGTATGTACTTGGGGCATAAGACTCTCAGCAAAAAGATGATTAGCACCAATGGGTGCAGCTTTCCAGATTGCTTTTCCAGGAAATGGGCTGAATCCACATCTCAAAATTAGGGAATGGAGGAGCAGCTGTCCTCTACTAATAACTTTTGCTGTTATTGGACAGGTTTTGAACCCAAGATGGGGTCACTCTGCCCATCTGTATTTCATTTCTAGTCTCCTGAGAAAGTTGTTCTTGCAAAGATTTTTACTTTCCCGTTGTGTTAATATTCCACACTGCAGGAGTTTCCATGCAAAGAGGATTACACTTGAATTCTCCAGGAGCTGTTCACAGGTGGGGGGAGAATAGCTTCCCGTTTGAACCTATGGAAATTTGATGTTCAGCACCTGCTAAGTGCTTTGCAGTCTGTGTTGTGCGACAACATCGTTTCTCTTCCTCTTTGATTGTATGAGAAGTTTGAAGACTTTTCGGAGTTGATACCTACATTGGGGAACCTTTTTCTTAATTTTTGTTTTTCTATTTTTATTTTAAAGGCAGCTTCACTGAAAGGCAAATAATGTATTTCAAACAACTCTGCACTTGGCTATTCACAAATTGCAGATTGACCTGCAGAAAAGGAAACTGTAATTGCTAGTACTTGAGAGGCCAGGACAGTGCAAATATGGCCACAGCCTGGAGAACTCTGTTCCAATTCCTCAAGGCAAAAGGGAAGGTGAAAGTGGGGTAGGTGCCTTGTCCTGGCTTAGATTGGTGCTGAGACTAGCTCAGCAAAAATATGCGAGACGCCAAGCCCAGCACAACTCTTCCTTTTGCATATTCACCTCAGCTTCTCTTGGAAAAGTCCTTGTGCATCATTAACTAACGAGTATGCTGTCTTTGGGAAGAAAGGGGATTATGCAATTGGAACTTGATGTTGTAGTGCTAATATCTTTGATAGGATATTTCCTAACTGATGGGATGTGGCATCAGGTAGAAGCCCTCAGCTGAGAGCAGCAGTGTAGCCACTGCCATCTCATCATTTGCTGGTCAGTAGAGTGAGGCAGCGTGTTGCTTTTGTGGCTGCTAAGAAGGACTGAGGTAGCTAGCAGGTATTCTAGAACCTTATTTCATTGTTAATGAATAGAAGGCAAGGCAGGCTTGTTTTGCTTTATTCAAACTTGTAAACCCTGCCTCCTCCCCATTTTACTTCCCTTCCTCTTAAGGCACATGGGTGGTTTTGTGGTCTCTGTATCCGGTCTCTGTGTGATACAGCATGTGCACTGAGGAAGCAGGACAGATAAAACACAGCTTATGTTTCTGGGAATCGTTCCCTCACTGCCGATGGGGAAGTGTTGTGCTCCCAGGCACTGCTAGATAAGGTGCTGGGCTGTTGTCATCCTGAAGTGACATACTTGTCATACTGGACATACATAGTGACATACAGTTGTCATACTGAAATGAAGGTGCTTTATGAGTAGTTCCCTGCAGGACTTGACGAGTTGTGGGATGTGGATCTTCAGCAGCGTGTTGCTTGGTTTCTTTCTAAATTTGCACACTGGCTGACAGCTTTAAAGACACATTATAAGCTGTGAATTGAGCAGATTTTATAGTGGTTTTGTGAACTGAGGATAAGTGACATGGTTGGAATTGCTTAGGGCATATGCGGGCCGGATTTAGAACTTGAAGAGAGTGCGACCAGCAGAAGGCTGAGGCCTGGGGTTCTGTATCCAGCAGCTGGGTAAGCGCCCTCGAGGCTGTGCTGCTGACATGTGTCCTGCTGACCTGGCAAACCCCCTGGAAATGAGGGCGGATTTAGTCAGGCAAGCGGCTTTCTCTGCTGAGGTGCTTGAACCTGGTTAGTTAGAGCCAGGTGTAACTGGACTGTGTTGCCAGGAGCTAATGGCAACGTCATCTGTGGAGGAAACTCTCCATCTTCTTACGCTGCTGTAGCATTTTGCTTGTGGGCAAATGGACAAAGCTTGAGGGTGTCTATGAGTTTGGTATTACAAGTTTATAAGAAAGAAGCCATACAGTGGGCTTGTGTTGGATGCCTGTGTGCATTTATCCTGTCCTTGAAAATGACAATTTGTACCTGATAGTATTCGGGTTCTTCTTCTGTCTTGTGTTCTTTGGAGGTGCTGAGGATAAACTGTAGAGTCCTGCAAAGCAAAGGGATAAAGATAGAATTAACAAGCCCCTTTTGATTACCTCAGACTTGTTTTTTTCCCTGAACCTTTTCTCAAGAGACTGAGGGAAGAACTGTAGTGGAGTCTTATTTGTATGTGTAGAAGTATATGCATACTGAGAATCAGCAATAGCCATTTCTCCTACTGCAGTCTGGAATTTAGCTCTGGAAAAACAAAATGCAGCTTGGAGAACATGCTCTGCAGCTTATGTTCCAAAGCCACGGGTAGGGCCTTGTTGTTTCTGTTGGCTGCTTGGCCCTGGATGAGCTATTGCAGCAAGTCTTTGTCCTCTAGAGAAGATAATTTGTTAACATCATTGTATAGATGTAAACTCAATCCAAAAGAGATTAAGAAAGGGATGCTTTGTATGGATTCTATAGCTAGAACACCTTAGTAGTTTAAGGTCCTGGCCCGGAAATCTATTTAAAATGCCAGTTTTCCTGAGCTGTGTGGATATGAGGATGTGCTTTGCTCCTATGTCTGGCTTCTTTTTCACACTATCTTTGAACAGTGCTCAGCACATATTTGCATTGTGCTTTCAGGAGTTATTATGAAATGAACAGCAACAGACTTTTTTTCCCCTCCTTTTCTTGCAGGTTGTAGCTAAGAAGTGAGCAGGATGCCCCCGGGCATTTACTGCCCTGTGGAATTCTGGTCCAAGGGGGAAAACCAAAACATCCAGGTGGACTTTCTGCTGCCCACAGGCATATACCTAAACCTCTCCGTGTCCTGTAATGCCAGCTTGGGCACCATCAAGCAGGTAACAGCCGTATTGCTTGGTCTGATCTGCAGTCTCCTGGAACTAGGAGTCTGTTCTTGGGAGTTCTTGGGGAACTGTGCTTGGTCTTAATACCTGTTTGGTTTCTTCTGCATTTTTTTAGATAGTTCCCTGTGACTGACTCCCTCGAGTCCTTCCTTTCAGACATGGCCTCTGCAACCCACTAAACGCATGTCTAGCTGCTGAGACTGTCACAGGGTGCTGATGTCCATGGCACAAGGGTCAAACTACTGGCTACTTGGCCAACCTTGAGATGCTACTTAGTTTTTGAGGAACTGTGGGATGAGGCCGGATTTGGGTTGTTAGTGTGGGTCGGAGGGACCTGAGCCAACCAGACTGCAGACTGGATTTTTCATTACGAATGCTCTTGGGTGCGCAGATGCAAGGACAAAAACTTACCCTAAGTGATCCAATACAAGTGCCGGACTGTCTCAGAATATTCAGGCAGTCAGCCTAGCCTCCTCTTGCATCACAGAAACTGGATCCGAAAAACTGACACTGTGACGAGAGAGATCTTTTTCTTGGTGTTTTATTTGTGAAATAAAATACTGTAGTGAAATCATATGTAAAAGAAATGAAGCTGCTTTCTTGTTTCCCTGGGCAGGAAGTGGGGGTATGGGAGAATGAAGAAAAGCAGATTGGAAAAGGTTTTCTTTGCAGCAGCAACCTGGTCTAGATGAGTCACAGATCACAAGGGACAGAAGCACAGTGCCAGATTATTCCAAGTTTTCTCAGGCTGCAGTTTTCAGGTCAAAAAAGAAAAGAGAAAAAAAAAAAAAAGAAAAAAAAACCCCTTCAAGTAGAGCCAGCTGTTAAGATCTGTGTTTTCCAGCCAGTAGGTTCACTGGGTCACATCAAAGGCCTATCTACCTCAGGATTTTGTCTCCTATAGCAGATACTTAGTGTATGAATAGGATATGAACAGTCATATGTAAATGTCGTTCCCTAGGAGGGAAGGGTAGTAGAGTATTGGATAGAATTCAGAAGTCTTAGGAAGAATTCTTGGCTTTGTCACAGATTTCATATTTCTGAGAGCAAGTGACTTGATCCACTTTTGCTTCCAGTGGGAGTGACACCTCTATTTCTTGAGGCTAGCAGTCAGCGGATACTTACTGTGCAGCATTCAGGTGGGAGTTACTTAAATACCGAGGCAGAGGGATTCACTGCGCCTGAAGCAAATGGCAAGTGCAGAAAAGGAAGTCAGTTAAAGACTCTCGCAGATAAATCTACCAGCAGTTCAGCAAGAGTTGCAACCACTAAGCCTGGCTGAAAAGCAGCCTTTGACTACAGGTCCAGGAATGCTGTGACTAGGCTTTGCTCTGCATTCCCTTTGTGGAATGACATTTCTTGAAGAGGAGTTGATACTAAGTGGAAGATGAAGTCCTGAGAGCAGTAGTTTTACTGTGCTGTGGGTCTGTCCTAGGTGGTGTGGCAACATGCACAGTATGAGCCGCTATACCATATGCTCAATGATCCTGAGGCCTATGTGTTCACGTGCATCAACCAGACAGCAGAACAGCAAGAGTTGGAAGATGAGCAACGACGACTCTGTGACATCCAGCCCTTCCTGCCGGTGCTGCGGCTCGTGGCTCGAGAAGGCGACAGGGTCAAGAAGCTTATTAACTCCCAAATCAGCCTGCTCATTGGAAAAGGTCAGTTTTCCTCCATGATTACCAAAGGCTGATGATAGCCCCTCTTGGGTGGATGTGCTTATTTTATCTTTCTCTGCTACCCTTCACTTAGGTTTACATGAGTTTGATTCTGTGCAAGACCCGGAGGTGAACGATTTCCGCATCAAAATGCGCCAGTTCTGTGAGGAGAGAGCAGCAAAGCGGCAGCAGCTGAGCTGGGCAGCTTGGATGGAGTACAACTTCCCTTTGCAGTTGGAGCCATTGGCCAAAGGCTTTGGGACTGGCCCCCTACAAACCCCCACCAAGAACATTTTTGTCAACATCAAGTTTCAGTCTGGCGGGGTAAAGCACAAACTTTTCTGTGACAATGTGTGACTGGTTTGTGCTCTCACTTCGAGCATTCAGAAACAGAATAACATGTGTGTGGACAGTGTTTCCATGTGTTCAGTATTTGTCTTCGTTCTGCAGCCCCTGTTGCCTGTGGATATGGTTGAGAGGGAATCCTTGAGCCTCCAACCAAGGAGCTCCAAGGGAGCTGTTTCCACTCTTGAACATGCGTTGAGGGTCCTGGTTAGCTGGCAGCTGAGGTTACTGTGTGCATGTGCAGTAGCAAGCTTTTTATGCATGGTGGGAAAGGAGTAGAGAATCTAAGATACATCGTTCATTCTCAGGCTTAGAGAGTCCGCTCAGCTCAGTACGCGCTGCTTGTAGGCATTGGCCTGTGTCGCCCATGGGCCCCTGCTCTTCCTGCTGCCCTTGGCTAATGCTGCTCTGTGCATGCTGAGCCTGCATGTGAAGCAGGAATCACCTCCAGGCAGGAGAAGAGCCTTCCAAAGCGGTGTGTTTGAACAAAGCAATCCCAGTCACCACCTGCTTTGCTTGTAGGAAAACAGTTGGAATGCTCACAGTGACTTGCAGCCACACATACTGGTGATGGTGCTTACACTGTACTTGAAGTTCCTGATTTCCAGATGTGTGCTTGCTCCACAGAAACATGCTGCTGCCCAGTTTGGCAAGCACTCCTACTTATTTGCTAATGTGTGTGTTGTGAGGGGGGTGATTCTGCTGTTCTAGCCTCCTCTTTACTGTGTCAGCAGTAGGAAGGTTGTCACTTCCCTGCGGAGCTTCTGTTGCTTCTTGGGTGATTTCAGCCCTTTGCTGGTATTTGACAGCATATGCTATGTTGTTGGGATTGCAGGAGAGCTTCACTTTCCAGATCTCCCCAAAAGAGTTCCCCATCACGCTAATGAGCTATGCGATCAAGAAGCAGGCTACTGTCTTCCGCCACGAGACTATGGAGAAGCCAGAGGATTATACCCTCCAAGTGAATGGCAAATGGGAATATCTCTATGGGAACTATCCCCTGTACCAGTTCCAGGTGAGCCCTTGTCTTGTTGTCAGTGAGTGAGCACTGCTCCCACATGTCCTGCTCTTGCTGGAAGGGCAGTGTGAGACCTGTTGTCCTGCACCAAGGAGGCTCTTTGCAGGAACGCAGCCCACTGAGAGCAGGAACCTGGTGCTGCCTAGGGCAAGAGGTACTCTGGAGAACCTAGTGGATCCTTACGCTTTTGGACTGATCTAAGCCCATCCCATCTATTTATAGATTATGATACTAGAGGTGTCTGTTTGCTTGCATGATGGGTGCAACTGTTTTTCCTAAAAGTTGGGCAAGTAATCCTGCATCCTTTGTTCCCTGCTGGCAGGAATGCCGAGTCCTCAGCAGTTTCCCTTAATGCAACTGAGTGGGTGAGTCAGCTGATGAAATGCTGCATGTGATGCCCATCACATTCCTGGCTCTATCTACACTTGACCAGTGGGATGTGGGTTTATAAAGCCAGAGGGTGTAATTTAAAACTGAATTTTGATGGCTGCTGGCTCCTTTCCATGTGCTGTTCACCTGTTTCTGCTCTGCTTCATTGCCTTTGCCAGCCTACTGCCGTATCATCCATGAAATGTCCTGTCTTTGCAGTATATCCGCAGCTGCCTGCACCGAGGCCTGACGCCCCACCTCACCATGGTGCACTCCTCCACTATCATTGCCATGAGAGATGAGCAAACCAACTGCATTGCCAACCCCCCAAAGATGACTTCGAAGCCTCCCCCACTCCCTAAGAAGAAGGTAAAAGGATATAGTGACGCAGCCCGGTCACCCTCAATACACCCAGTGATGGCGATGCTAACGTAGTCTGGGCACACCTGCTGTAGAAGCTGGTTTTCCCTGATTCAGGGCAGGTTCCTAGCAAGGCGCTCAGAGCTGGGCATTCCCAGTCCTCCTGTTTCCTGCTGCAATACGGTGCTCTTTTCTGCTGGGGCCAAAAGCAGGTGATGAGAGTCCAGCGGTAGCAGGCCTAGGAGCTAGGAAAGCTGATATCCTACCCTCAGGGTAGCTCTCCAACGTAGCTCTTCAGCTTTCTTCCTCGCAGCGTCCCTCAGTGTAGGTGCTAGTGGGAGTCACATTGGCTGGTTGTGACAGCAGGGAGACACAGAGGATGTTTGAGTCGCAAACTGTCCTGACATAGAAACTATGACAATGCTGTTTAAGATGACATAGAAACTATGACAGTGCTGTTTAAGAACCATCTCTTGGCTACTGTCGGCAGTGCCTCTCCTCAGGAGTGCCTGTGTAGCTGCACTGCAGCTCCACAGTTATTGCCTGTGTAGCTGCAATAACCCACCTAATTCCCTCTCCAGGAATGGAGAAGTTAACAACACAGAGCTGAGAGATAATCCTGTTATTTTGGGTTGAGAATTCCTTGAGCTGTTTCTGATCTGAGCTGTTCTTTCTCTCTAGCCAAACTATGGTTCTCTCTGGTCCCTAGAGCAATCCTTCTACATTGAGCTGGTGCAAGGAAGCAAGGTCAATGCGGATGAGAGAATGAAGGTAGGTGCTGGCTTGGTTTGAGTTGGTTTTGTGTTTTGGCTTGCTTGCTTTGCTTGTTGCTGGAGTGGGGTGAGGAAAGCAGGGGCTGGCAGCCTCATGTCATGTGCTCCCTCTTTATGTTTCATTCGGCTCTTGGGCAGCTTCTAGCTGCAGGGCAGCAGGAAGCAGATGGGAACTTGCCAGCCAGCAGCCCAGTCACACAGCTGTGCTTTCTTAGAAACAGCCTTCTGCTAGAGCTTCAGAGTAGCAAGCAGAGCTGCTGCTCTGCAGTGACGATCACTCGGCAGTGTGAAGGGGCAGAGAAGCCTGCAGAGAGCATAGGGGAGGAAGCTCATCTCTGAGAAGAACGGATGATAGGAGAGGTAACTGATGGAGCTAGGGCAGAAAGCACGATACAGCAAAGCCCTGGCACACACAAGGGGGACAGGCCAGTGAGGTGAAGGAGAATGGCCACCCTTCAAGAAGGGAAGAAAACAAGCCTAGAATGTGGCCACCCTTGAAGAAGGGAAGAAAACAAGCCTAGAATGTATTAGATATGAGGAAAGAGAGAGGAGTATCCTATTTTCTGGAGGGGACTCTGTCCTATTCCTCTTCTAATCAAGTGTCCTTGCCAAACAGATCAGGTCCATGTGGATTTACAATGTTCTCTTATTTCTCTGTCCCTCAGCTGGTGGTGCAAGCAGGTCTTTTTCATGGCAATGAGATGCTGTGCAAGATGGTGTCAAGCTCTGAAGTGAATGTATGCTCGGAGCCTGTGTGGAAGCAGAGGCTGGATTTTGATATCAACATCTGTGATCTTCCCCGAATGGCGCGGCTCTGCTTCGCTCTCTATGCTGTCATCGAAAAGGCAAAGAAGGCGCGTTCCACCAAGAAGAAGTCCAAGAAAGCTGTAAGTGAAGTCAGTGGGGGACTGAGCCAGGCTTGTCAGGGCTGGAGGGGGCACAGGATGCCATTTTGAGACAAATACCTCCTGCTTTCAAAAGAAGACTTACTGAAAAAAGAGCTAACAGTGTGATGGCCAGTAACTTCCTCATCAGAACAGGAATCAGAGGAGTTCTGACTTTAGGAAAGGGTATTTCAACTGAAATTTCTTCTCCAGAAAGACAATTAGGAAACATACCCAGCATGTAAATGCACTTAAGTGGAATCAGTTGTGTTGGTTTCTCTGTTTTGCTTTTCTACAACTTCCTTGTTTTATAGCTGAGGTTAAAACCATATTGTATGTTGCAGCTTCTTTCTAGTAAGGTTTTTCATACAAGTCCCTCCTGGGGCATTTTAACAACTTTGGGGAAGAGAATGAGGAATGTAAACACTGCTTGCAGTAAAGCTATAGGTGAGACAGAATTTGAAGTGCAGAGTCCAAGGTTACTCCTCAGATGCTGCAAGCAGAGGATGGGAAGTGTTAAATTTATTTTGGAAGTTTTTGTTTTATGTTTCTGATTCAGAGTTGTGGTGATTTGTTTTCTCCTCTATCCTCAAACTTCTCAATCAATTATAATTCAATAGCTATGAATAAATCTAAATGCAATCTGTAGTTGAATGCTGATTTCCTGATGTGTAACCACAGCAAGCCTGATTTGCATTTGGAGAGTTTTCCTTGTGAGGAAAAATGACCCCTGTTTCTCTGAAAATGATTGTTTCTGCAGCCATAAAAATACTTTCACTGTGCTTTAAATAGGGAATTAGCTCTGCTTCTTTTACTGGTGTGCAAATAAAATGGAGAGATTGTCAAATGCTCTCATGGAAGACTTTAGTTCTGCCAGCCTCAGTTCCGCTAGTTCCTCTGTATTGCGGGTAGGCTCGTTGACGTTTACTCACTCAACAACAGTAACGTTCACAGTGTATTAGTATCTGGGGACTTCGGTGCAATCCATGAGTCCTGTTTGTATGGACCATTTTCCAGGTTGGAGATTTCAGTCTGAAAACATTTTGAATGAGGACCAGGATCAAGCTTTTATCGTTGTTTTTGTACTTAATAACAGAGCTGCAACTCCTGCTGAAGGCTTTTGTCGAACAGAATATCTGATTCATCCACAGGCTGCATTTTTGGTGGTCACACAGGAACAATTTTCAGTTTTGAAGCAGTCAGAAGGAAATTCTGCTGTTCTGATTGACAAAACAAAGCCAGCTCGGTTAGCTGAGTTGCTAGAATCTTGCTCATGTACATTCTGGTAATGGGAAAGGAGGGTGGGCTCTCATGGGCTTTTAATGCACAATATTTGCTGGACCTGGACTCTGCAGAATGGATTTGTCTGTGTGTTCGCATTGTAGCTCTCAGTGAGGTACCCAGGGTTTAAAATTGCTGGTGGCTGGAGCTTCCAGTCAGGCTGCTCCCTGATTTTTATTACTGATTAATAAGCTTTTTGCTTGTTGCTCAGTATTCAGAGGTTAACTCTATGCATGTTTGCGATGCAGACAGTCCAGATCAAGAAGGTGGGACTGAGTCATTTACTTCCACAAAAATAAGCGAGCCTGCAGACTGCCTGGGATGACTCACAGGGTTAATGTCACTGGTTGGCTTTCAGTGTGTCTTAAGTCATGCAGGAGATATTTCTGTCCTTGTGATGCTGAATTGTTGCTCTGCTGGACCTTATCCTCTCAAAATCTTGCCATGCATTTTGGCAGGGTCCATGTTGTGGTTTGATGGCATTTCGTTTGATGGAGAGGGTTACTGCTGGTGAGGATCTTGTGACTGCCTCTTCTCTGAGGTCTGAAGCTAATGTCTCAAATGGGATCTTGCTGGAGATGCTTAGGGTAATCAAATCAATTAAAAGGTTTATGAGAGGCCATTTGGATATGATTTGTTTTGTTATGTAAAGGGAAAACATAGATACCACTAGCTCCCCCAAGTCCTTTGGTATGTCTTCTGGGGAAGACTGATCTATGCTCAAGAACATCACAGTGGAACAAGAATATTCACTGTGTGCTTGTACTCACACACTCTCTGCTTCTCACTGGAATTATCCCTCATAGCTTTGGCCAGTGAATTTTTGTGCTGTGTTTTCTGAGCAGCTGAGTAAAATGCTGGTGTAGCTATAACTTATGCGAAGCAGCTGTTATGTTTGGGGAACCTCAGTGCACAAAAACTTAGGTCACTTGTAGAATCTGTTGTTCTAATGGCAAAGAATTGAGCATAGAGACAGGTTGTCCTTCTTGGCCATGCCCTAATCACTTTGCTTATTGGAGTCCTCCTCCTCCCAGTTGAGCCTGGCTTGTGCTACTGAGCTGGGCTTGGGCTTGGGTATGGGAGGGAATTGCAGCATCAAATCTATCAGAAGATGGTGCTAGTTGTTGATATATCAGTACCTGATATATCCATGATTCTTTGTCTAGTTTTCTGAACTTATGTCAATTGCCACGTTCCCATTTTCAAACTAAGATTCTTTTTCCTTTGCTTCAAGATATGAGATATATGAAGTATGTAAGTACTGTAGAGCAGCAGTACCATATTGGAAACCCACAGATGCTATAGATGTGCAAAATGGTGGAGGCTGGAGGGGGTCTAACCTGAGACCCCCTTCTTCTTATTGGAAGATTTTAGTGTCATTCAGCATTACAGTACACATACTCTTGGGTGTGAAGTTACATGCCTATAGCATTCTGCACAGGGTTTGCTTTGCATTGGTTGTTTCCTCTCTTCCCTTCATCCACCTTTTATAGTTACAGCACCCAGAGCAGCTGCTCTCCTTGCCTTGCAGGACTGCCCAATTGCCTGGGTGAATGTCATGCTTTTTGACTACAAGGACCAGCTGAAAACAGGAGAGTGCTGCTTGCACATGTGGTCCTCCTTTCCAGGTATGTCAGGAATTAGAGCTCCTGTACTGTTCTGTGTCTTTAATGTCCTCCACAAAGAAGACCTCTGTCTTGTGGTCTTCTGCTGGCCTAGGTGGCAGCAGAATAGCTCAGCCCAGGCTAATAGTGTTACAGTAACATCCTGGGCTGAGAGTCCCACTACAATTACTGCACTATATCGCAGTGACACCTAGAGCCCTGCCAAGATCAGTTTGGTTTGGCATCGAACACAGGCAGCAAGAGGTGTAGCTGCTCCCCTAAAAGTATCACATATTCTTGCATTCTGCTGCGAGCGAAATGAAGTGACCTGTTGAGCCCCATGACAGCTGGAAGCAGCTCTGTGTCCTGCTTTCTTTACCAAAACTTCAGAAGAGTCTATGGGTTTATGTACTTTGCTTTTCAGATGAGAAAGGAGAACTTCTGAACCCCATGGGTACAGTACAGTGCAACCCCAACACAGAGAGTGCAGCAGCCTTGGTCATTTGCTTCCCCAGCATTGCCTCACATCCTGTGTATTACCCGTCGTTTGAACAGGTAGGAGACTTGGATGCATTGCAGGGAGATACGGAAATTTCCCTATCTTTGCTGGGTGCAGGAGCCTGCAGTGCCACTCTGTCCTGGGTAACCATCGACAAGGAATTAGGTGCAAAAAAACCCCAGACGAATGGATATTTTTAACTGAGAACCTGCCTCTTTCCCATAAACTCATACACCTTTGGGCGAATAATTTTCCAAGTGTGAACTACCAAGCTAAATCTACTCTCTCCTGCAGCGTTTTGTTTACACATGGGTTTAACCAAACTGCCTTTAGACTGCAGGCAGCGTTATTGGGCTCGGTGGGAGGAGGAATAGGGCTAAAGGAGTGTAAGGAGACAGTTTCCTCTTTTCGGCACAGAGTGCTGGCATGTATGGGCGTTCTCCATCTGCCACTGCACTGGCCAGACATTAAAAGAAGAAATGCCCCTGTTTCAGGAAGGGGAGGAGTTCTGCTCTGCGGGGACACGCGCTCCGCTCTCCCGTGATGCATGTTCAGGCTGGGAAGCTTTGACAGATCGCGCCCACGTGCCGGGTGGCTGGGCAGTGCTATCCGTTTGGCAAACATGCAGCATTTCCAAGAACCTGGAATGCCTTGCACTGCCCTGGAGTTCGGTGACCAGAGCTTCCTTGCCTTGACCATATGGGCGTGCAAATGTGCCCTTCTCCTCCCTTGATTCTCCATACCACAGGCCCGTGGGCAGTTAGGATACAGCTCAGAGCAGAGGGGATCCTGTGAGCACCTGGGCTGTCCGAGAGGTGGCAAGGGACTGGTCTCTTAGTCGTTATAGACACCTGATGTGATGATGAGCTAGGATGCAGAGGAAATGAGGAGCCTTTCTTAGACTCTGTATTTGTGTACCAGCTGCTGGAGTTGGGGAGAAATGGAGAACAGCCCCGCGCTGCCCTGGAAGACCCTGAGGAGGTGAGTCTCTGGCATCCACAGTTCTGCAGTTGGCTACATGCAAGCTTGGTTTCTTAGATCAAGTCATTTGTTGCCATCTTACCCCTAACCAGCTCTTTTCATCAAACTGGGCCAGGCAACCCTGTGGCCCCAGTCCTACAGTGTCTCCCTGGGTTGAGACTAAGTCCTGTGTATACTCTTTCCTGCAATTTCTACGAGCAGAAACTGCAACTGAAGGAGATACTGGAACGGAGGAGCCACACTGAGCTTTATGAGCATGAGAAAGACCTGGTCTGGAAGATGAGATATGATGTCCGTGACCAGTACCCACAGGCTTTGGCAAAGCTCCTCATCATCACCAAATGGAACAAGCATGAAGATGTAGCCCAGGTGAGGATGCAAGAGGTCCCAGTACTGCCAGAAGGGGATGGCAGCCAGTCCTGCCCTGTTTGACAGGTCTTGCATGTATATGTCCCTGTGCTGTGTCCTTACTTCAAGGGCTTTGACAGGACCTTCTAAAGGTCCCTCTCCAGCCAGCTATGCTGAGGAAAGAGACTTTCCCCCAAAGAACTTGTTCCACTCACTGCTTACTCAGCAGATGTAACTTGGGAGATCGCGTCTCCTGTCCACCTCTCTAGGAAGCTTAGACTGATGTGTTTTGACCTGGCCTCTGCAAAATGTCCCTTTAAGATCTATAAATGGCGACTAAAAAGTGAGGCATTTTTTTCTTTTCTAAGGGGTCTGTTTTTCCCTCATTAGAATTTTAGGGGCATATAGATTTTTGAGAATTGTTTTAAAAATCCTTGTTCTTTTCCCCCAAAACCTTTACAGATGATTTCCCTGCTTCAGACCTGGCCAGAGCTGCCTATCCTGAATGCCTTGGAGCTGCTGGATTTCAGCTTCCCTGACCGTTACGTTGGCTCCTTTGCTATCAACTCTTTAAAGAAGCTGACGTAAGTGTTCACAAAGGGTGTGGGGAGCCCTTGCTATTGACATTTAGAGCTGCTGAAGGCACCTTTTACACCTGTATTACTATCTATATACATTTAGGGCTCTTGAAGGGGACTGTAAACAAGACTGGCAGTCTTTTCTGTATTTTTTTTTCCCATAAGCTTGTTGTAATGAAGATGACTTTCATTTCTATTCCCAGGGATGGTGAATTGTTCCAATACCTGCTACAACTGGTCCAGGTGCTTAAGTATGAATCCTACTTAGACTGTGAATTAACCAAGTTCCTACTGGACAGGGCATTAGCCAACCGCAAGATAGGCCACTTCCTCTTCTGGCATCTCAGGTAAGGAGCAGATGTCTTGGGCTCTTTGCAATCAAGTGAAACCACCATTTACTGGATTCTGAATCGCGCTCGTGAAGTGAGACAACAGCTCTGTGTGTGTGTGTGTCTGTATGTGGATGCTGGTTCAACTACTTAAAGGCTGTTGGCTCTTTTTTACCCAGTATCTTTCACTGAAGCATTTGTGGAGGCCTCCTTGCTGTGATTAGGAGAAACCAGGAATGTCAAATCTGGTCTCAACTGAAAATAACTATAAAAATGGCATCACTGTGGCCCCGTTGCTCATTCAGCAGATGTGAACTGCTGCTTTTTCCTTGGGAAATTTATTTCAGGAAGATAAAAAAAAAAACTTCACTTTTTTTTGTTTTGTGTGTGTGTGTGGCTTTTTTTTCCTTAGGAGTGCAGCTGTGTACATGTATGTTTATACATATATGTGTATATATGTGTGTATATATATGTGTATATATGTGTGTGTGTATACTCATACATATATGTATATATACACACATATACAAAGATATGCATGCCTGGAACTGAAATTTAGTTTGGATGTTCATGGCCGCCTGCCAGTTCTGAATCACAGGCTCTGAACTGCCCTTGTTCCTTAAGTAATTTTTCAAAGGCATAGTTAGCAACTTAGTCATCCAAACAGCTTTGTCATCAGTTCAAGCAATGGATTTTTCTACAGCACCTTCTCGGGTGGGTGTTTTCTCGCTTCAATTTATAGAAGGAATCTGAACTGCCAAGTTAATTTCCCCCCAGCATATGCTGCCATGAATGGGGAAATTAGTCACTCAGAGCAGTGAGTCAGGTTTGCTTTAACCTCTCTCCTTTTCTAGGTCAGAGATGCATGTCCCTGCAGTCGCCTTGAGGTTTGGCCTGATCCTGGAAGCATATTGCAGAGGCAGCACCCACCACATGAAAGTTTTAATGAAACAGGTAAGAATTGCTCTTAGCCATAAGGTTGACTTCACCTGTGCTTGGCGGTGAGGGACTCCTCCCTATCTAAAATGCTGCTGCTTCTGTTTTCAGTAGTGAATACAGCTTTCTTTTTATAACCAGTCCTCCCCAGCTGCACTGCAGGCCGGGGCAGTAGGACTCCAAGGCAATGGGTTTCCTCACTTTGCTAGTCCATGCACTTAATTTTTCTTCTGTGCTGCCCTAAAACCTGCATTACTTCTGGGCTGTCTGGGGCTGCACTCATTATCTAGCTTTTTTTTTTTTTTTTTTTTTTTTTCTTTTAAGTTCACTTTAGATTTCCTTTAAGCCAATACTAGTTTTTCTTTGGTTGCAAAGTACAAGATCTCTGTGAGAAGTCAAGTGATCCAGCCAATATTAACATTTCACAGTTGACTATTAAAAGTCTTTAACTTTGTGCTAAAACTACTTTCTGTGTTTCCTGTTTTGTTTACCACTCTTCCATCCCTTCCCTTTTTGCAGGGAGAAGCACTCAACAAGATGAAAGCTCTGAATGACTTTGTCAAAGTGAGTTCTCAGAAGGCCACAAAGCCTCAAACCAAGGAGATGATGCATATGTGTATGAAGCAGGAAACTTACCTTGAAGCACTTTCCCACCTCCAGTCCCCACTGAACCCCAACATTATCCTTGCTGAAGTCTGGTAAGGAAAACAGCTGCATTTCCTCCTCAGTTGTGCCCCAGGCTCTGTTCAGCAGGAGAGTCAGGCTTCTGGTAACCCTGAGGCCACCTTCCCTCATGGTAGTTACCTGCCCATCAGCATTTGTTGGTGCTGTTGAATTTGCAGATTTCCTGGCTTTCTTTCTTTCTTTTTTTTTTTTTTTTAAAGTAGGTGGAAACTTTGGTACATTTTTTTTTTTTTTTTTTTTGTAGCGTGGAGCAATGCACTTTTATGGACTCCAAGATGAAACCTCTATGGATTGTGTTTAATAATGAAGAGACAGGTGGAGGTGGAGTGGGTATAATTTTTAAAAATGGAGATGGTAAGTCTTTGATAACTTCTCTATCAGAGATATCACAGGTACAATACTTATTGTGGTGAAGGGACCTAAATCAGGACTGTTAAGACATTGTGTGCATAGTGTCAGGATGTGTGAGGTGTTCCTTGTTATTCTTTTTTTGATAGTAATTGTGAGGAAACTCTCCATACTTCAGCTACTGCCCTGTTCAGTAAGAGGACACAGTAACCTCATATTTCTAGCTGGAGACCCTTGCCCAGTAAAACAAACTGTGAAGGGTCCAAGCATTTTTGAATGGATAGACGTGTGGGATTGATGTGGCTGCTGCTTCATCATGTCAGATGCTTTTTGATGTGCTGCATTAATTGCTATGGGAACAGAGCCTTTGGCAGAGTGAAGTAACAGATTCATCCATTAGTACAATCATATCTCAGTTAAGGTGTCTAGTCTGGAGGCTTTATAGTTAGTGCCCTGGGAAAAAAACATGGCTCTGTTTAGACATTGCTTTTTTAGTGAGACATGGCAAGAGACAAATGGGCAGGGGCTCTGCCAGCAAACAGCTTCCTGGGCAGAAGCTGCTGTCTCGGTAGAAAACAAGAGGAGGGGAGAACAGGAGGCCCTCACAACTCGCTTTTCCTCTGCCACGGTGCACAGATCTCCGTCAGGATATGCTGACGCTGCAGATGATACAGTTGATGGACATCCTATGGAAGCAGGAGGGCCTGGACCTGAGGTGAGCCTGCAGCTGCCACACTGCAGTGTTAGACCGTGTGGTGGGACCATTCTGCCTGCAAGCTGGGTTCTCCTGGACTCTGTCCCCTGTGTGCTGCCCTAAGCATACACTGAATGCACTTCTGAAGCACCAGGAGCTCAAAGCACCTGGCCCTTCAGCAACATGGATCCTTTTGCTGGCTGAGCACACAGAAAACACCGCGGTATTTACTTCGAGTCCAAATGTGAAGCAGGCACAGAGGCCTCCCATGCCATTCCCCAGCAATTTGCCTTTGATATGGAAGACACAGGGAATCTTAAGAGTCAAAAGACAACCCAATCCTGGGCAAGATTTCAGTGCAAGGGTTTCTTTCATCTCTGCAGGATGACCCCTTATGGCTGCCTCTCCACAGGCGACAAGACTGGATTGATAGAAGTAGTCATGCACTCAGATACCATTGCCAACATCCAGCTGAACAAGAGCAACATGGTGGCCACCGCTGCATTCAACAAAGATGCGCTGCTGAACTGGCTAAAATCTAAGAACCCGGGGTAGGTGGGCTCACCTTTTACTCGGCTTCCTTCCAGATGGAGACATTTCATCTGCTTGCTTGATTTTCCTCTTGTTACACATATTTCCAAGCTGTCCAGCGACCTCTCCAGCAATGAAGTACTAGAGTGCAAAGTAAAATTCACTCTCAATTTCTTTTTCTTATCTTTTTTAGAGAAGCACTAGAACAGGCTATAGAGGAGTTCACCCTCTCCTGCGCTGGGTACTGCGTGGCAACATACGTACTGGGCATAGGGGACCGGCACAGTGACAACATCATGATCCGTGAAACGGGCCAGGTATGGGGAGCCACTGCTGCTCCTGAAGTATTGCACGTGGGCCTGAACGCTGCTCAGCAATGAGCAGGGTCATCCCCGTGCAGTCCTCCTGCTAAGAATGTACCAGCTTAAGTACATTCCAGTATTCCATTTAAGTAAGTTCCAGCTTAACAAGGCAAGCTAGGACTTACCTTGCGGCCAAGAGACAGACAGACACAAATATTCTCAATAGCTTTTGTCAGTGAGAGGGTACATTAAGTTTTATAATTAGAATTCCACTGCCTTTGGCTGCCAGTGTAACCTCTTAGAGGCTGCTGTTAATATTATAAAGAAATTACAAATTTTCATGGAGTAATTAATACCTCTCAAACCTAAAACTGTCTGCAGACTTAAGCAGATGCAAACTCATGCTCTGCATTTACTAGTATAAAGACTTATTTTTAGCAGAATTACAAATTGCATATAGTTGCTAGTCAGGATTCCCAAGAAATTACCCAATATAAATTCTTATAGTCTCCTCCTAGGAAAAAAATAAATAAATAAATGACTGCAAGTGATCAGCATGGTTTTAATCTCACGGTGATCCCTGTATTGAGTCCCTTGCTTTTCCACAAGATTAGCTGCTCTCTCTTATGTCCTATGAAAGACAGGGCAAAAGCAGGAAAAGAAAAATCCCTTTGTTAGCAGGATATAACTGCTACTCAATTATAATCAGGAATAATCTGGTCAAGGAGGAGAGGTGAGGTACAGCTCCTGCTGGGAATTCTCCAGAGCCAGGGCCAGGCTGTGCAAGGCAAGGCTCTTTTAAGTTCAGTAGTCTCTAGGTCAGCCGGTTCATATTTGTAAATTAGAAATTGGCTGCCCATGTTTGGGAATCATCTAAGGTTCTGTCCACTGTCTGCCCTGTTCCAGTGTAGCACCCCCTCCCCAGATGTGGTACTCCCGAAAACGCGTTCCGAGTCGCAGGAACGTGCTCAGCACATGCTGAGCAGCAGCACTTACCTGGGGCTGCCTGTTCCAAGGACAGAAATGAAATGGTGGGCAGGAGCCCACAGAGCTGCTGCTGCTGAGCACGGGCCTCTCAGTTCTTGTCCGCGTGGGGGAGCTGATGCCCTGCAGTATCTGGCACTGGGTTTGTTCATACTCGGCTTTAGAGCAGCTTTGCAAAACTGTCGTGGTGCACAACGATGACAACAGCCAGACATGATGCTCCATCCATCATGCAATAGCAATGAGATGGCTTCGCTCTGCGTGCCAGCAAAAAAGAAAGTCTCAGCTGAGCAAATGATATTTTATGATATCTTATAATATCTTCAGAACAGGACATCATATTTCCACAGTCTGCATCTGCAAACTGCACTGGTAGAGGAGGACAGCAACCCATTTTAGTTCTTTCTGCTTCTATTAGTGATATCTTAAGGCTTTAGAAAAAAAAAACCATAAATTTTTCTTCAGATATACTGAGCAGTGATGAGGTAAGCACCTCTCCTGTCACAGCTAACACTCCTATTACACTACAGAGGACTATCAGTATCTTAGTAAGTAAACATTGTCCCTTCCCCCAAAAGAGTGACATAGAAAAGATCAGTTATCTCCCTATCAAAATCCTATGGTTAGTGTTTTATTGAAGACAGTCATTCTGAAGAAAAACCAACTCTGATCCACTACAAGTGCTACTTTTCTGCTAACTCTTATTTCTTGCTTATTTCCAGCTCTTCCATATTGATTTTGGTCACTTTTTGGGGAACTTCAAGACCAAATTTGGTATTAATAGAGAACGAGTTCCTTTCATCCTAACCTATGACTTTGTGCACGTCATCCAGCAAGGGAAAACTAACAACAATGAGAAATTTGAAAGGTACGTGTTAGCAGGTACATGCCTAAGCCTTTCAGCTCTGAGTTTCCAGTAGTTAATTCCTCACCTTGCTTGCTGGACAGATTCAGGGGCTACTGTGAAAAGGCCTATATGATTCTGCGGCGCCATGGTCTTCTCTTCCTGCACTTGTTTGCACTGATGAAAGCTGCGGGCCTGCCAGAACTCAGCTGCTCTAAAGACATTCAGTATCTAAAGGTAAGAGAAGCATTATGTGGATAGGTGCTTAGGAGTAATAACTTGGTCAGATTCTTGAGCCTGGAAGCAGCTTGAGCGTTAGGAGACAGCTTCTCTTGAGCATCATTGCTTGTTTCCAGCTTGTCTCTTAAATTATTAGAGCTTAGCTCTGACCTCTTCTCTGCTCCCAGCTCTAGGGTAGGATGTGTTTATCTGAATGAAATAAATTGTGTGACTACAGTTAACTATTTAAAATAATTAATGACAACGTGTTTTCCACCTGGTGTCACTTTTTAGCAAGTAAATATTTTAATGATTGCTTAGTTGTACTTCCAGTGAAGCCTCACTAATTTCTGCCTCTCTCCTTCAGGATTCCCTAGCTCTAGCAAAAACAGATGAGGAGGCACTGAAACACTTCAGACTCAAATTTAATGAAGCCCTTCGAGAGAGCTGGAAAACCAAAGTGAACTGGCTGGCACACAATGTATCCAAAGATAACAGGCAGTAGAGCAACTGAGTCAGCCTGTGCACCTGCTCCAGGAGAATGTACTATCACTTGCACTGAGCCCAGCAACTGTAGACAGGTTTCTACAGAGTGATGAATGTTGCCATGTTCAAGTTCCCTCACGTGCATACCTAAAGATGAGACATTTCTGCATGACTGAAACTGTTAGACTGTCATCAGCTCCATAATCGTGTCTGGTCTAGATCTTTGGGGACGAAGGGGGAGACAAAAGGCAATAAAATTTACTGCATACAAAGAAAGGTAGGTAGATGTACTGTATTCTTAACAACTTGTTAAACTTCAAATACATCCTTTAATGGAAGTATTTAGGTGGCTGAAATATCATTTAAAATGGGTGACTGTATGAAAGTGTCTGTTTTCTTGAAAATTTAGCTGAACACTGCGAAGGTGCTAGTTGTAGCTCTTGCACAGAAGCCCTTGCTCTAGGTACGCACCCGTGCAGCTCAGTGGCATTAACTCACCACGAGATCTCAACTTCTGCCCTCTTTCAGTGTAAGCAAGATTGCCCCTAAAATAGACTTGCATAAAATGTTTTATTCTGAGGTGTGACAGGGCAAAAATGCCCATATTGCCACTCTGCTAGAGAGGCCAAAGTGTTTTTAAACTGAACTGGAATTCATCTACTGCTGTCAAAAACTGATGCCAGCAGAACAGGTTCTGGTTGGCCCATGGATTAGGTATTTTTGTTTCCTTTCCTAAACTAGGCTTTATTTCAGCTTCAAGCAGCTCCTGGGTTCCTACCTTTATTTTACTTCTTTTTCTTCCCTTAATAATAGTCTTGCATTTTGAGCGCTCCCAGGTACACTGGCTGCTCCACCGTGCACCTCGTGCTGCGGCGCATCAGCGCTCTCCCAGCCGGTGTGCCCGCGTGGCACTGGGCTAAGGCAGCAGCTCCAGGAGCAGCTGGAAGAGACAGTGCCCTGCTGTGGCCAGCTTGCTCCCTGCGGTAGGGCAGCAGGGCCAGATGAATGGGTTTAGCATTGGAAAATTACGGTGTCGAGCACTTGGAGTTATTGAGCAAGTTGCACCTCCACTCTCATCTTTCTGCAAGGCTCTTCCCTGTTGCTTTCCCCTCCTTGTTCCCGCTCCTCCCCTGAGCCGGGTGCACGGACTGTCAGCGGGGGTTCAGCCAAAGCGCAGGTGCACGATCGGTGCCTGCGCCTGCCATGGGACGTTTCTTTCCCCAGCAGACTCTCTCCCCAAGCGGGGAGCGCTGCAGTTACTGATGCCTTTCTGCTCCCGGGTCCTAGTCTCAGCTGCAGCTCGTGGCCTCACGTGGGTGTCGCCAGGGCCAGGCGCGCGGCAGCCGCTGCTCGGGCTCGCTGCCCGACGGGCGCACAGCGGGGCGGCGAGCAGGCTGCAGCCCACGGGTGCTGCTGAAGGGAAGGGGGGCAGCCTGGTTACTCCCTGCTTCCTTCAGCAGCTCCCGGGGCGCTTCCGTCCGTGCCCCCAAGCTCTCTCCGTTATGTTCTTATGGAGGTGCTATCATTCCTGTCTGCTCGGGAATGGCACAGTCTTGATTTTCAGCTTCAGACCTTTTTGAAAGGCCTCCCTAAAGCTAAATTACACTTTTGCCTTGTATGTCCTTAATTATGGAAGAGCAACTTTTTTTTTTTTTTTTACTAAAAGGAAAAATAAATATGGGCCTTCTGTACCCTGATTTTGAGCTGACGAGAGATGTATGCGTTTTCAAGTGATGGACTACTCCATCATGAATAACTTTAGCTTTCCTACCTGGTTAATTTTTTTCAAAAACAAAACAAAAAATGATTCCTACAAAAACTTCCCATAAAAAATTGCAGGTTTAGGACTCAGACTAATCTGTTGACTAAAGGTATTGCTCATTCCTCTCATGGGAGAAGTTTGGTAGTGTTTTCGCATACAGCAGTAAAGTGCAACTCATTCCTGACTTTTGGGTCTTTTTATTACTTTAAATAATCCTGTATTTGGGGGCAGTTAATGACTGCCCAATATCTCCCCTGCTCCCTTTTTTTTTTTTTGAGAAAAAAAAAAGCCTTTCTTTTATTACATCTAACGCTAATACAAACCCTAGTTTTGTATATAAATGTAAACCAGGTTGCCTCATGTGGAGCACTTGATCCTGGATAAAGCAGTTATGTAGAAGTAAATTCATTTTCACTTTACGATCCCCTTTTTCACACCTTTCAAGCGACACCCCGTGTGACCAAGGGGTGGCCAGTACATTTCCAAGTAGAGCAGCCCGTGCCCTCTCACCTGCCCCCTCACGCCATGCAGCAGCGGGGCAGGAATCCTCTCCAGAGTCTGAGCAGGAAATATGAAAATGGAAAAGAAGCCCAGGTCTGTCTCTTAGAGCTGCTTTGGTTTCAAAGGAATATTAGAAATGCCGTGGCTTGGAACGAGCAAACAGGACTGCTGCCCTTGCAATAACCACTGCCTCGGCAGGGAGCAGCAGCCACGCGGAGCCTCCTCGCGGGACTCGCAGCCCTGACTTTGCTCGTGGAGGTGCTGATGGCCGCACAACTTTGCTCTTTTTTACAGAATGAGAAATATTGCTATTTCCTTCCTTATTCAACTGATTCCTCGCGCAGAAAAATATTCAAAAATATCAGGCCACACGCGAGTTGAGATGAAACTCAAACCACCACAATCTAATCAGTGGTTTGTACATCCTCATGAGAAGGAAGAAATATACCACAATTCTATAAACACACATGTGATTCTCTTACCACAAACTAAAAATCCAGGGTCCTGTCTTTGCACTGCAGCAAGACCCTCTTACCTGAGGGTCTCCTTTGCCACCGTCAGCTCCTCGTCTGCAGCCTCACAGCAGTTCAGATCCTCAGCCGCTGATGGGTTAGTGTTTCCACAAAGTCAGGCCCTAGTTTAGTTTTATGGACGTACAAAGCAGCACTGGCTCAGGGCAGTTGTCCTTTTTTTGAAGTGCAATAAATAAAATTACACCACCCAAAATTGCAAGAACTGAACAATTCCAAAGGTGCTCCTCACTCCAGCATGGATTACAGAAGAGTTACTCATTTCTGGAAAACTAACTTACCTAAAAAAAATAAAAACATCAGTGAGTGGACTTGCTCCTTGTAAGCACAGTTGTATCTTGAAAACACGTCTGAAGGTTTGATCAGGTCAGCAAAGATCCTTTCTCTCCAAAATTAGAAAGCAGGATCTCATTTGATGGTCTCTAACAACCTGAACTGTAACAAAGATTGAATCTTAAATCACTTCAAAAAATATAAATTTTACTGTAAATAACTACCCTCCCTCTGCTGTTATAAATATGCTCAAAGTGATACCTTTTACTATTTCTATTTATTTAGAGATGTTTTGGTGACTTTTTTTTAAACTCTGTACAAACTATTTGTGCTTCATTCTGTTGCCTTTGGGGAAAAAAAAGTATTTTTTTAAGTCAGGTCATGTTCTGTATGAGAAGAATGTTTACATGTTTAACTTTTCAGTTGCTTGAAGTACATGTTTTCTAAGTCTAAAAATAAAAATGATAGATAAATTATAAACACATACTGTCAGAGTCTTTTTATGCTTGAAATCAGTAAACGAATCTCCCCTTCCGAAACCAAAAGCACAGCACTACCCCTGCCACCAGCAGATAAAAATTAACACACAGGAGGTGCAGCTCGTTTCAACTCTGTTCCACTCCAGGAGAAATAAATGCAAACAGCCTTTAGAACCAGAAATTTATTGTAGCTTATAGACTTTCTAAACTGACCTGTTACCAATATACACATCTGAAAAGTTATACCCACAGTGGCTACAAACGGCATCAGGACGTTTACAACCTTTCAGGATTACCATTAAAAGTCATGATCAGTTTTTGTCTAAAATACAGCAGCTACAGTGACAGTATACGGAGGGATAAGTCTTCTACACATTAACACAGGACAATCGTCAGACATAAGTTAAAAGTTCCCCAGTTTACTTAAAACTAGCAGTTATATTACCACAGAAGTAGTCAAAACCATTTCCCCATTTTAGAAATCTAAAATTTTACATTAAAAAAAAAAAAAAAGAGTAAGCTAGTTGTGTGGGTTTTCTCCCCTGCTTCCAGATCCGTCTATTATAGTAAAAGGCACTCCACAGAGTCAAGTTTTATCCCAGATAAAACCCACCACTCAATCCCATTACACACATCAGGAGCCAGATGTGCACTAGGTAAGAATAGGTCTGCTGTGAAAATCAAATGAAAATTTTGGAAACACTTGGATCAATTTCCCCTTTTATCTCTTTGAAGGATGACCCTCTTCTCCCACCACCTGGCTTCTTGCCGCTCTGTCTGCAGGTTTAGCCAGGGCAGCGTTTCCACGACGAGCACCGCTGCCAGCCGCTGGCCTGCTGAGAAGCGTCCTGGGCACCTCGCACCCGGGCGGGCTACACACAACGGGAAAACTAGAGCTTTGCTTACCGTGCTGAGGAGCGAACGAGTCCTAGGTCCTGTCACGCGTAAAAGAAGTTACTCTTTAATCCACCTCCAAGTATTAAAAAAACAGAAGTAGTCAGATATTCATAATGCTCTGCATGAGGCCAAATAAAGTTAAATCAGTAAGACCTGCCTTACAAAAAAGCTTCACCAGGGGGTCATAACTTACTTTTCGTACCTTTCTGCCATTTCTTTTTTAAAAAGTCCTTTGCGAGTCCAAGTTAGAAAGTTGATCAGAAACACCCAGGATCAGCTGTAACTTGGAACAGCAACAACAATCTCAACAGTCTGGCTGGATCGTTTATCCTGTAGTTTCACCAGCAGGAACACACAATTACTAAGTGTAAACAATGGCTTAATACACCAACAGTCCAAGTCACTGTACAAGGAGCTACCAGGAATGAGCAGGAGTGTTTTCATTAGGAATGATATAAGCTTTGCCCCTAGCCTCCCTCTACTCCTCATTCCCAAATTAAAAAAAAATAATCGAAATGCCAAGAAAACAAAATACCCATCCATGTGGACTGGTGGCCAAGGTGTGCAGTACACAGGTCTCGGGCTTCCCACCGTCAGTTACCGCTGTAACAACCAGCTGAACAACCACCGGCCAGCAACGTGAACAGACCAGCCCTGTACTACAGGCAGCCCCACTGTACTTAACAGGAGCTGTGGCAACACCCCACAGCAAGAGCAGCCTCATCCGCCCAACATCCAAGTAGTGTTTTTCTCCCAATAACTTAAAAAGTCCTTATACCAAAATTTAACTGGAAAATAAAACCCCCAAGTCAAAACAAACTGTATTAGGCAGGGCAGTTGAACCTCTACAGAGGTTCCTAAAAGCCTTTACAGTTTCTCAAGCTTGTCCGTTCCCTCTGCAAAAATAAAGGAGGGGAAGAAAAAAAAAATCGGAGCAGGGCATGAGTGAACATGGCAGTCAAGGCCAAAGACACTATTATTGAAACATCTACACTAGATAACTGTGCCCATGCTCCTGCTGCAGTAGTATGAGACTCATATTATTTCATGCTTCGTGATTTTTTTTACTTTAGCATGTTTTAACCCCCAATCCCTGTTTTCACTACCACAAATGACATAATTACATAATTCCAATATATTTACAAAATATTAAAAAGTCTGTTAATCTTCTACATATTAACCTCATTCTGCCACTTTACACATGCACTAATTTGGGAAAATAATAATAATAAAAAAATCAACAGGCTGAAATGAGTAACTTTACCCTTTGTCAACAAGCAATCTTTGCATCTTTCAGAAAGAGTAAAATGAACAAAGCCAAAGTTGTTTCACTGAGCAAAAAAAGACAGTTCAGAAATTCATGTGCAATGGCTACAGATCTGTAGAGTCACTTAGCTGAGATGACATGAAGAAAAAAGTGCAAGGTGATTCCTCACATAGCGTAAAAAAATCCAGTCACTGAGGCATGGCTGCGGGAAAAGAGGTGCTAACTACAACTCTAGGAACAGCATCAGGAACTAGCCAATACAACACAAACACTGGCATGTGTGTTGGTTGAATCTACTGGCCAAAATGACTTTTTTTTTTCTTTCTTTCTTTTTTTTTTTTTTTTTTTTTGTACACCATGAATCCTTGGGGACAATGGAGTGGATTACAGTGGAGTCTTCTAGAGCAGAAACATAAAGACAAAGGGAACAGCTCCAATCAATAACTGAGGGTAGAGTCATCCCACTCCAGCTGTTGCTGTCTATTGACATTCTGTTGGTCCTCTTCCTGCTCTCCTTCCTCTTCCTCACTGCTTTCAGACTCTGCACTGGTGATATCATCCTCTTCTCCCTCTTCACTTTCTTCTTCCTCTTCCTCCTCCTCCTCTTCACTGCTGTGTTGATCCTCATAAGTCTGTTAAGAAACAAATTACTTGTTAGTATCATACTGACCTAAATTGCTCTTCTCTTTTGAAATTGGAGCTAAGATACTACATAGTGAAAAAGTTATTAGATCCCTTGCTCTTTCTTGATGTTCAGCACTAATTAGGCAAACAGTAAAAAAGTGGCTCTCTATAAAACCAATCTCTGGTTTTGTAACGTTGCTAGCAATCCTCTTGATTTAAACAAACAAATCTTAAGTACTAACCAGTACCTCAAAGAATAGTGAAAAAGCATCTTCCAGTGAGAACACATAAAGAACATTAAGGTTTCGTCTCTTACTAATTCCTCCTTTTCTAAAAAAAAATTATATCAACCATAGTAGAAGACAACATCATAAAACAGTGTTAAAAATACTTTTTTTTCCTGTCTTTGGAAGAAAAGTTTACTTATGTTAAGGTACCATGCAATACACTAAACACTAGTTTAATGGGGACACTGACCCCTAAAACCTGACATTAGATTCTGGCGTTTCTTGACCAATTACATATCACTACCCATGCAAGACCCAAACACAGCCACTCTTGGGATCTGTCACTATGGAGCATTCATTAAAAACTCAGTGTCGAGGTCTGTCCTCTGCACTCTGCTGTTGTTCTTGCTCTACTCCCTTGCTGACAGTTTAACTCACTCAAAGGTGAGAGAGGAAATTCATTGGAAGTACCGAGACATCAGCCTTACCTCCATAGGGTTCACAGTGATGGTCAACGCAGAGTCATCCCAGTCCATCTCATTTTCCTTCCCAGTGTCCTGGTCACGCATGGTCCTCTGATGTGCGGCTCGGATTCGGAACACTCCCAGAATAATCATAAAAACCAGGAAACTGACACAAACTACAATCACCACCGTGGCTGTACTGGGAACAACTGCAAGAAGAAAATAAAAGGAATTTTTTAGGTTACGCTGATAAATAACCCTTACACACTGCTGGTAACTAACCACTCCCATTACCTGTAAGAGGGAAAGGACCTTACAGAAATACTGCACATGGGTAAATAGAGGCAGTAGAATGTATAAGGTCACTGCACAAGTCAGTGGGAGAACAAAAACTAAAATTTGGTTCCATACAGAATCACTCTCAAAGACCAGCATGTTCTCATCTATTTTACATTTCACTATGTAAGCTCCTATCTAAAGTTCCTGCTTTTTCCTTACATCCAAAACTCATGCCAAATTCGTATCCTTAAAATAGAAAGGGCAGATACCCCAACTCATGAAGGGAATAATACTGCAGCTCTTTTTTCATGTCATTCACAAAAAAAAAATGTCCTAGTTCCTCACATTCTTTTATCTAGGTCTTAGAGTTCCCTCAAAGCAGTGTGCCTCACATCAACCCATGTACAGATTGGAGAGAGATCCTTCCTGTTGCCTGGGGAAGATATTTCACAGGTCTCTAGTCATCTGCTCCTCCCTGTTTGGGCAACAACAGAGAGAGACTGAGCAGCTGCTTAGTCTAACACACAGCTTTAGCCTCTGGGAGAAAAAAAAAAATGCTCTGCAAAAATTCAACACAAGCGAAAAAACATCCGAGCTTCCGTGACTGAGAATCCTTACCTGAAAATGGATGAGGGTTGGCCAAGTTGTGACCAGAGAGATCTACAAATGTGTGATGCACTGGATGAACAAACTGTGGCTGGGCAGCTATGTGATTAGCATGTTCAACTGGGTTAGCTGTGTGGATAACATTCACCTAAGAACAAAAGGAGAAAGCTCAACCCCAGAAAAACACCAGCTTACCTGCAAATAGACGGAAGAGATCTATTACCCACACCGAGCATTCAAGCCCTACTCAAAACAGCAATGGTTTGTCTCAGGGGCCTTAATTCTTTATTTTAACAATCATCTCAACGTGGAGCTCCTCATATATCACGGCTTCTTGCCAACATAACCCTCTAGCACTGCAGTTAACTGCACTCCTCAAAGCTGTTTCTGTTAGTGTGCAAGCCTGCGTGCAAACAGCGGCACTGCAGGATAAAAGGATAAAGCCAGTTCATGATGAAATTTGGTAGCATGCCATTTTGATTCTGCCGTAACAATATACACAAACATATATGCCACATGAATTACACTTTCTTTACTTCCGTCTTCTAATATTCTGCTGTGTCTTCCCTTAATAACAGTGAAGAAATTCAGATTAAAGGCAGAGGGCTAAGGGGCTGAGAAAGAAAGGTGCACGAGCAGAGCGGGCTCCTTGGCACAAGCGCCAGCTCAGTGTTCAAGCAGCACACTGCAGGTTTCCCTGCCAAACGAGGGAGCTAAATACACCCCTCCTGCGGTGGAACGCCGCAATCCAGGGTACCTGACCAGCTGCACAACAGGAAAAGTTCAGGACGAACAAGGAAAGCAATTGCAGTTCAATAGCTTGGCAAGATCCTGACTCAGGCACGCAGAATTTCCTCAGGAAACAAACCACGTGGCTTAACAAGAAAACCCCTCTGTTCTACGGCACAAGTGGCTCCTTGGCTTTCCTAGCCCTCCATACTCAACCAGTGCTGGTAAATGCAATTATTAACTTCACTGACATCCTTGTGATGAAATTTAAAAGCAGAAATTCAAGCTCATAGCTAAAGATAAGAGATGCATGACAATTCCTTTCAAAATAAGTAACTTCATGTTCAAGCAACTGAAATTGCAGCACCCCTTACGTTATTTCCTGCTATACTTTCATATCTTTGGTACAAGTGCACTGAGTAACAATTACCTTGTATTCTAATGCAGATGAAATATAATTTTAGCCTTTCTGCTCTTTCACATTGCACAGCAAACTTCTAACTTACAGCATTCTTGCTAGCATTTAATGTCAATGCTTGAGCATCACGTAAGCAAAAATACTGAAGGGTCCAGTGAGTTCATTTACAGAATCTTAAAAGTCATATGTGGAGGTTGCTCAAGGCTCTGGTCAAGGTCAACTACCAACACACCTGATAGTCCATTCTCTACGATTTGGGATTTTTTTTTTTTGCAAAATTTATATGTTGACTTTCTAATTCAATCTCCACCCCTCCCACACACACCTCAATTAACTATATCAATTCTGCTACAACATAGCAGTCTCATCTGTCTAGGCAGCTTCATTTAAAACTGAAATGTAGAATTGAGAACACATTAAAATACAAAACAGTTTAAGATGCACAAGTTCACTAATATTAAAAAAAACACTAAAGGACTTTTTGGTGATAAAATCACAAGTTCACTAATATAAAAAAAAATCTAAAACAATTTTAGATCTGTACTGGAACCCAGACTCTAGTAACTCTCAGGGCGATCGGGTAAGTTCACATACCTCCACTTTAAATTCGTTGCTGACATAGCGCCCGTTGAGTTCAGAACAGACTAATTTGAACTTTCTGTCGAAGAGAGCAACGGTGTGCCAATTTCTGTAGCGTATCAAATGCAGAACCTCCTCATAGTTGGCCATAGTATCAACCCCTGCAGAAAGAAAGCAACAAGTGGAACAGTTATTTTACAAAGACTGAAGCATACGGAGGCATCCTATACTTCACAGCATTGCCACCTTTCTTCTCACGAGTTTTCTCGGCTGATTTTTTTTCCTGATGACTGGAAATTTAAGTGTTGTTAAGCTACAAATTTACAGACATGGGGCTTCACTGAAATTCTGTGTTTTAGTTAAAAATTAAATTTTTAATTACTAATTTAAAGACTAATTAAAATTAGTCTTTAAGGGGATCTTGGAATACTCTTTTTGAATACACAGCAAATATACATTCTAAATGCATAATAAACAAGAATGATGCATGGTCCAGGGCACTATCTGTGCATGGAACAAGCTTTTTCTGGGGACACAGGGCATTTTGGTAACCTGCAATTCATGACATGAGATGACAACACAGAGGAGGGCCCAGGACAGCCTATTTTGTAGAATCACAGTTTTCCAGAGAGCAGTGGAAACACCCCTGAGCTGAAGATCTTGACAAGAAAGCAGTATCTGTGGTAAAGTGGTACAAAACATCTATCGAGCTGGCAGTTCCCATTACCACTTTGAGACCCTTCCTACGACAAGACCAGAAGGAGCTACCCTTACCTGTGATGATCATGCCAAGGTTGGAGGTACTCATCTCAATGCCCTTCTGCTGCAAGCGGGTCATATCAACCTCCAAGCTTTCTTGTTCCTGATTTAGTTCCTCTCCTAGCACTGTCACCTCACATGTATCCAAGTTATGCATAATCTCTTCAGATACCAAAGACTCTTGTACTGAAGAGCAGAGAAAAATCCAGAGATAAGCAGAAACAAAGGAAAAGTAAACAAGAGCCCAGGAACTATAAAACTTCATATGCAAACACAACATTTCCTCTTAGAACACATACTGATGTCTAAGCCTGAAGCAGACACCAAGTACTCAAGAAATAATCATGATAAAAGAAACAAACAAGGGACATTTACCCTAAGATAAGAGCCAAAGCTTACTATCATTCATAGGAAAACCTTTCTCGGCCCAGATGATGACCATCTCCTTCTCACTAGACATAAAACCCTTAAAGTATCCTACTATATTCCGCATTAATAGAGAAATCCATGTCTCTTCAGAGAAGGATGATGTTTCAATGGGGTAAGGGTAGGCAACAATACTACCCTTAAAAGTATATTACCTGTAGGATCTTCATCTCCATCTCCTTCTGGCTCCACCTCCCGTGTAATGGTACTTATTATGCGAAGCTCCGGGAAGAGGGAAACGCCCTCCGTGCTCTCGAACTCTGAAGCAGAGCGGGCAAAGTGGTTGATGCCACTGAGACTAATTTTCGGTTCCTCTGGCTGCAAGACCATTACGTACCCCTCCACGGAAGGAATGGAGATGCATGCCTCCTCATTGAAACATCTGCAAGACACAGGGGCAGTTGTGCTCACTCAAGGAGGCTATTTGACGGGCAGGCACAATTGTGCTGAGTAAGTGGTTATTACACAACTAAAACATGAAACATTTCAATGATTTAATTGGTGTCGCTATATTAAAATTGTGATGGTTACATCCAGCAAGATCCTTTTGTGCATCACAACTGATATACACATACTTTTTTCCGAGTTCCACTATCACAATATAGAGATAATACACTTCAACATTAGCACATACTTGACAACACTGGTGATTTTAAGTCTCCGGATCCCAGGTGTTGGGAATTGGCGAGAATTCAAATAGGAAACGTGTTGCATGGCCTTGTCAACTCTGTCAATATCATCTCCCTCTAAGGTCAGCGTTGACTGAGTGGGGTTCATATGGATCTGAAACAACAGTGAGGGAAAGAATATTCAAAAGTAACATAACTGACTATTTCTGCGCTGCTTAGTCTGGTGACTGTCAAGATAATCACGTCTGTCCTCAAAGTGACAAGGTCGCTATTTACCGGGCTGATAGTTAACTTCCCTGCTCATACCTCCAGTCAAATGTATTTAGTATTTTATTTTTCAAGAAAAAAAATCTAGGTGCTCATCACAGTGCTGATGAGCAGATTCTACTAATATAGAAGAGAGATGGCAAATACGTAAGAGCAAATCAGCTTTCACACAACTTTGCTATTAAAACAGACCTGCAAGTCAAGGTCTTCCTATTAAGTTGCTTGTTAAGAAATTCTGCTTTTTATTAGACATTTTACAGCTAGTAAAAAAGGCAGGCTTTGAAATAATTAAAAAGAAAACCCTCTTCAAGGCAGGAAAACACAATTACTTTGACCCTCAAAGTTTACTACACCATATGTATAGTAGGAAGACTTGCCAGTTTTCACAGAATTTCTATATAATATATCCCAAATAATATCTCAAATACATTTGCTTATTTTATCTGGAAAATTCCTACTACCTATATCAGTGAAGCTTGTATCTGTTATCAGGAAAGCAGTATACATGTTTTCTTTTATTCATATGCAGTTTTACCTTTATGCCTTTGCCAACACCATCAGCAATCTGTAAATCCAGTCCCTCCTTGCAAGTATACAGGCAATCTATCACCTTCTTGTTTTCCAGTTTACCAGAACGAATCATCAAGCCTGCCAGATTGCCTCGGAAAAACTGAGCCATGTGGAGTTCACCACCTTCGTAAAGGGAGGAGGGAAAAAGTGTTTTATAGGTCTTCGTTATTTCTCTTTAAAAAAAATACCTCTTGCAGTATCACAACATATACACATGCAAGTTAGTTTTTATCCATTCTGGGTGTTAACCTTGTGATAACATTCAAGCACAAAGGAGGAACTGAACAGTTCACCATGCACATGGCCGTCAAAACGCACAGGTGTGGCCATCTTGAACTGTGTAACCACGGCCACTATTTCCGTAACAAACATTTCTTTTGCCCATACAGCGAGGTGGTGTTCTTAAGAAATACAAGATAGAGCCAATGCGATGAACTATGCGGCCTGAATCCTCGTGTTGAAGGTAGTATCTCCAATCTGCTTGTCAGTTCTCTATAAAGTCAGCAATATCCATCAGGACAGAAGACAGTGCCAGTCCTCTGTATGTGGGTTCTCTAAGCCTAAACCGGTTATTTTAGGCTCTCTCTAGACTCAAAAGTGAGAAATCCAGCGTTCAAGGTGATTTAGCTCATCCTCGAGCAGATGTCCAAGATGGCAGAGCTCAACTCCTCCCCTCTGACCGTATCTACTTCTCTCAACTGACTGAAATTCAAAGTCCTTTTCAGACCTCTGAGGTAGGCAGGCTAAATGCCAACCCAGTATGCATCTGAAGCATTCCTTAGATTTTGATGATGTTGTTATCATTCCCATCATGTTGTCATTATTATTATCATCACCTAGGCTACCTTGCTAACTAATGTGACTTACTGAACACTACCCACAAAATCCAATTTCAAACTCATCACTTCGTAAGTCAAGAGATTTTTAGAGGATGCATAAGCCTGTGTAAAAGATTCTAAGGGATGCTCTTTATAATGCAATAGAAGTTTTCAGCAGTTTATCCTGTTAAAAATCATTCAATTTGCAGTTTAAATTTATACAGTTCCTATTTCTGGCCTCTGAATTGTGCTACATCCTTGCCAGCTTCAAGCATGATGTATAACTAGAATCTCTTCTTAGTCATTCTAGATCATTTTAGGAATTCTTGAACTTTACAGAAATAATACATACTTTGAACATACTCTTTTAGAAATACACAGTAATTTCAAATGTCTTGGCTTAAGCTACAAAATCCCCTGAACCATCACTAAAGCTGTCTAGGTAAATGAACACAATGCATTGGTATTAGAACTTTACACCAATTTCTGATCAAGTGAATATGTACTGTAAATTATAGGTCTGTCTTTGAGTTATATGTGAACAACCTCATCCAACTTAAAAATTGGTCTTGCTTAGGGGAGCTGGACTGCCTGACCTCTAGCTGTCCCTCATAACCTCTTCAATGATTCTGTGATACACAAACACCTGTACAAAGTGTTCAACAAAAGGTTCAACAAAACTGCACCTAAGAAACTGTAGCTAGTTTCTATAGATTCATAATTTTATATTAGTAACTTATTTTACACCACTTCACTGCAATCACAATGGTTGCAAATCTGTCCATGGATGTGCATTTGAGTGCAACAGCAGAAAAAAAAAAAAAAAGAAAAAAAAAAGAAAACAGTTGGTGAAGCACTGAAAATAAAAGCACAATGAAGAATCAAGTCTAGGAGCAGATTACGTGAGATCAATGGCCCAAATGCAATGCCTTCATTTCATGCTATGTGTGAGATGAAGCAATGCCTTAGCGTAAAAACGAAATAAAACAGTAGGGAAAAAAAACTCCAGCAACCTGCAGAGGTCTCGGGCACAGTTTCATTGTCATTTTCATTTCCTGTATAGTCTGTAGAAAAGCAAGACAAAGAACAGGACAACAGGGAAGGGACCAAGTAGTTAAGAACTGGCAAATTCTCTCTTATGTCACAGAAAAAAAATACACAGCACTACTTCCCCCACAGAAGTCTCCATCAGCTTCTCAGGGACTAGGAGCTCTTTGAAGAGCTGCATTTGAGGGAAGAAGCACCACTGTAGTGTAACGAAGACATAACATTCACAACAAAACAACTCTGGGGAGTCCCCTGTGCAAGCTGTAGCAAAAATGGTCACACTGGGTAAGATTTAAGGATACCCAATCTCACACAAACCACGATTAGTGATGAGATAAATAGTGACATATTATCTTCTCTTGCAATTAATGTAATCTCCTCTTCAACTACTAAAATGAAAAACATGAATCTGTATCCAATACCAATTGGATTAACAATTGGATTGTTAATACCAAAAGGTATTAAACATTGATCAACAGGTGCCATTACTAACACACATTTTCGATCAAATTATCAGCACCATAAATATTATGCAGTCAATCTACCAAATGGAAGCTTCTGAAGAAAAAGTATCAGCTTTTAATCTTTCTGAAGAAATGTTTTTAAAAATATATATATTTGGAAGCACAAAACTTCTCCCTCCCCAGGGATAAGCTGCATGTATAAATATAGGATAGCTTGATTTACTAAAAAACATTGCTAAGATGCAGGCACTGGCCTTAGGCCCTCACTTTACCCCCCATATACACATATTTTCACAGGATAAAGTCACGCTGCCAGTGGAATTTCTTGCAATTTCTTGTTACATGTTGCCATAACAGGGCCAATGTCCATCACTGTAAGGAATGAAGTGTGCATGAGAAAGGAAGCACAGGAATTTGGAAACTAAATGGAAATGTTTTTTCAGGACATGGCATTTACAGAGGCTGTGACACAATCCATACACCTTGCTGTAATAGTTTCCAAGATGCAATTCCTTGAAAGTCAGCCACTACAGCTTATTTTTGAGTTAGAAAAAACAGCTTGAAAGTTATATACAGAATAAGAGATCAATTATATAGAAAATAAGTAATTTAAAGGAGAGAGCAGCAGAATGAATTTAGCATTGAAACAGCATTAATACAGAAAGGTAGTGAATTCATCATAAAATGGTATTTTGGAAGGAGAAAATATTTTGATATTTTAATGTTCATTCACATTTCAAAGCCTTAAATCTCAAACAGAAGGGACACTATAAGATAAAATCCCATTAATTTGATGAAAATACCACAAAGCTTTTTATTTATCATTCATTTACAAGCTACTTCTATGCATTACTGCAGACTGGAGCTATATTCAACCATAAACATGAGTGATTTAACGCTGCTCTTTCTCCAACCAGAATGATCAGTCATTTATACCAGCAAAGACGTAATTTAACTAGTGGGCCAAACATTCCAGTTCATGACTATGAACTAAGAGCTTCGTTACTGAGCTCCCTTGTTAGCATCCCCAATGCTCCTTGTTCAGATGGGTCTTTCACCATTTTCTCAAGCTTTACAGTGCTTTCTTCCTAGTACTACAGAGTACAAGCAGCTTGTACAGCTTTTACTTGCATAAAATTGTATTTAAGCCATAGTCTGCATATTATAATGTAGATGGTTTTGATGGTTTTTTTTTTTTTGTAAGCACAAATGGTGAAATACCCAAGAAACAGCATCACTTCTGCTTAGCTGAATCCTCTGTTGGCCATGCTTCCATTTACAAGAACAATTACTTTTTCTGAATTATACTTTTCCTATGTAGCCTATTTGAAATTAATGCTCTGCAAACTAACAAAGCATAAGATGTACTCTTCCAGGTATTGTCAAAAATAAGCTATCTATATTCCCATGGTTACCACAAAAATCACTTTGATGGAATGTTGTTTGGTGAGTAGCTTGGTATTTCATACACACCTGTGTCCAACAAGCAAAAAAAAAACACTCAAGAGAAAAATGACTAAGAGAAGAAATCTGATATTAGCTAGAAGCAAAAATACCATGCAAACGATTTAACAATTTATCTTCCACTGCACTAAAAAGATTAGCTTTGTACTTATGTGCTAACCACAAAGATCTCATTTTAAAAATGTATTAAAATTGTAAAACTTTATATATTTACCTTGCCAGCATGCTCCAACTACTAGCTGGGTTTCTATCTTTGAAGGGTGAAGTGGGTAATCTTCAGTCACTGGGAAAGGATCATACGAAACACCATCTACATAAAGTGTTACTGCTGGAAATTCAACATTGAGGACGTAATGATGCCACTCTTTGTCACACACCTGAATAAAGAAAGTATTTTAAGTTCTCTTTTGTTTAAAAATCCGCAATCAAATAAACATATCCGATACACATTTTGTATATGTATACACATGTACACATATACAAACTATAAGCTTGCATAAATATGTTCTGTGTTACACATATGGAACACATCTGAAAGAAGCAAAGCAACTGTTAAACATGTTTATTCATTTAAAGACCATAAGTTGTTTCTTTTCTTCTACTGCCAACACAGGAAGTCGCATGTATATCTGTTCCTTTAATTTTATAAGATCTAAATAATACCAGTATACAGCCAAATCAGAAAATACATGTCTGTAACCACAGATCACATTTGGATACTATTATTATGCAACACTAATTGACAAATGTCTTTGTTGAAACTGGTTACAGTAAAAAATGGCTGTTTTCAATACAACAGAGCTCTCCACGACAAAATTGTTCAGAGTGCAAGCTGATTACAGTTCAATTCAAGATTACTGAGGACACTGAATAGATCTCTGGCAAATCATCACCAAAAAAAAAGTAAATACTATTGCTTTCTATAAAACATGGTATCTTAAGTCTGGAGGTGCAAAAATATTATTAATAAATATATTATCAGACAGGTTAGGCTTCCATGGTCCTTACCGCATTCCAATATCCTACCAACTCTTTTTCCAAACTTACTTGGTTTAGTTTCCAATGAAATTCAGCAGGTTTATATGTTTTTCCCTCTGAAGGATCTTGGCGAAAGAGGAAAACAAGTCGGCAGTTGTGTACATAGAGAGCATAGTGGTGCCGGTTCATATCTGCACAAGAGTTTTTAATTATTATTTCTTTCTGAAAAACTTAAGAACCGCACAAAAATTTCATGCTGTGAAATTCCCTATGCAAATACATGACTAATTATTAGGAAAAAAACAAATACAGAAGCAGATGAGGTAAGTGAAGAGGAATGGGAAATGTTTGAAGTAGCTTGGACAAACATTCTTGAACAGCCCAACATTAATACTGATAACAGCGCAAGCAACAGGCATATCTCTGTCTCCAAATTCAAGCTGAACCCAGGACTAAGACTTAAGACTCAGAAAGTGAAATCTATCAGCAGGAGAAGACAGACAGACAGACAAAAAGAGAGAAAGAAAAACCCTTTTTTGCAGATGAAAGGGCATTCATTTTGTTATGAATGAGTAGACTGAGATATATGCACAGAAGTGGGGTGCTAGAGAAACAACTAGAAATAAGGAAGGAAGGGACACATTCAAACTCCAATGTCTATACCACACACGGATAAGTCAAGAAAGGAGAAAAAGCAAAACTACCAAAACCATTTTAATTTTCCAGTCTAACAGCACTAAATCTAACGTTGTTGTTCCAGTTCTATATAGTCACAATTGTCTCTACCCCAATTGTCTCTACTTCCAGTGTTTCAGCATTTCAATGGTATATTATGCAAAGACAAATATTTATATTTAAAATATAAATATTTTAAAATTATAAAATATTTATAGTACCAGAAATTTAAATACTTTAAAACATGGAAGAGTTGTATTTCAAATTGTCTTTTTTTTCCTCCAGTTCACTTCCATGAATCCAGATTTTGGGTTTTGAGTAATAAGAACTGGTGAAGGCAGGAAAAAGAGCCTTAAAAAAGAGCAATATTTGTTCCTCTTCTGAGAACTAATGCATGAAAAAATGACAGCCAGTTCTCCTCTCTTCAAAGAAACACTTTTAGAGTGTTACCGACACTATTAAGTCCTCCTTATTTTGAAATGAAATCTAATTAAACTAAAGATGAGAGCTATTCTGTTTTGTCTGTATCCAGCCTGGTTTCCTTTGAAAAACCTAGTTACGTTTTAGCCAAAACATCTTTCTAATACATGGAGCAAAGCGACTTCTCCAGATGACAAAGACAAAAATTCTACCCCATTAGAGAGCAATTATGGGAAGAGGGTAATCAGATTTTCTTTTTTATCAACACCATCTTCAAAACGAATGTTGAGGATGCTGATTGTGGATTCTGATTGTTTACAGCATTCACACAGACTGAAACCACTCACAGGACAAGAAAAATTTCATCACTGGAGAGAAACTATTTCCTCCTAGGGAAAAAAAATGCCTAGTAGCAAATATTATCTTTTAACCTGGTGCATGTCTGTTAATGACTTTAGCGTGTGAAAGACTTTCTGAGTTACAGTTACCAGAATAAATAACCTTCCACAATGAAAAGAAATATACAATGTATAATGAAACAGAGTTAAAACAGCATGTCTGCCTAATCTGAACTAAAGCTAAATAATTAAAGGGCACATCTCTATAGGTAAGCACAATAAAGGGTCTTTTGCAGATCACTTCCTTTCACTTCCAATAAAGTCCTAACCTAGAGGTTATCAGGTTGCTAGAATGTGTTAAAAAGAAAAAGGAGTGGACCAAGAACAGCAGTGTAGCTGTGCACATTTGATAATTGTTTATATTTTAATGACAAACCTGTCTTATCTGAATTGCACAGGATTGTCTCTTTCTCTTTGGTTCCAGGCCCATGCCGCATCCATACTGAAATCATGAAGGGCTCTTTCAGATTGACTGTGACAACACCATCTGGAATCTTCACAGCTTGTGTTCCATTAAATTCAAAGACCTGGTCGCTGTCATGCCCATTATCTGTAGGAAGTCCTATTGTCCAGTTAGCAGCACTGCTTGGTGGAGGAAGTAGCTCAGCTGTTCCAGAAGAAGCACCTACAACAAAAATGCACAAATGAAAAAGACAGAAACTAAAACGATTACAGATGGATTTTTTTTTTTTTTAATCTTAATTTTTCCATACTAACTGCCAGGATTATGCCCTACCATAATGCATTATGTAACTATACTTTTGAATACACTGGCATTAAAATTAAGACACACTTAAGATGATGTTATCTTCCATAAATTAACACCTTGATAAATAACAAACCGCATCGAAAATATTTTGCTTCTTACTCTACAGACGCAGAGCTTTGTTTTGCTCCCATCCAGGGAACCACTATATATGGCACTCGTCCCTCAGGCCCACACTAGCTGTAAGGCCCATCTCTATCCAGCTGCAGAGGGCTCTGCAATGTTCTCTCACTCAGAACCTCAATGTTTTCTCTCAGATCACTATGATGACATTGTAGACAGAAGTAATGACACGCTCAGCTGCAGCTCAGCGTGCTGCTTCTTCCTCACCTTCAAATCTAAAATATCACTATTAAAGTGATATAACTGTGGGAATAGCTTAGGAATTCCCTGAGGTCTCCAGGGGTGCACTGAATTCACACTTCCCACTAAGTTCAACTGGAGACGAAGATATCACCCTGCAGTGATAATTTGGCCTGTAATCTCAGTTCTTCCGTTTCGTTCTTCAGAAACATTTCATAACCCTTTAACTGCAACATACACAGATGCCAAAATGCCATTTAGACACATCTTAAATTTATCTAAGTGATGTTTTCTCCCAAACACATTTTCTTGTTTTTTTCATTTAATTTTTCACCATGAGTTTCTTAGATGAGATCCCTCACATCAACTGTGCCTATGGAAAAACAGAGAGGCTACACTCGTCTGCACATGTAACATCCTTCAAGCACCTGAACATGGATTTCAAGTGAGAGAATTTATTATTGTATAAGCTGGTAAGCTTCTCCATAAGCTAGCGAGGAGAAAAAGATTCTTCACTGCATTTGAGAATTACTTTAAAACATCGCTTTCAGCTGACCTCATACTTTGTATTGTTTGCTAGGCAAAAAGTTGGGGAAAATAACATGCAAAGGAAAATGGTGACCACCAACGGATTTGTGCTTTGATGGAACATTCTCCAAAAGATGAATAAGCAAGAGGACCACTTTATTCTAACAAAGCATTCTTACCACAGAGTTTGTGAAGGGATTTCTCAGAGTAGGTATCTCTGTCACAGCCTTTACCAATATGGCTGGTTTCTAGCTCCACCGTTGCTTCAACGGAGGTTACTGGCTCATCACAGGTCTCCAAATGCATACCAGGGAACAGAGCTAGAGAACCAGTACCAGGTTCATATTCTATTCTTTTGCTCCAACCTGCACATTTATCCAAAGGAAGAAAAATAAACACAAGAGATTTTTAATTTTTTAAGTAAGGAATTAACATCTACTAAAAGGAGATGGAAAATAGATCACACTAACCTTGCCAGCCAGGCTTACACGTAGGCTTAATGCTAATTTTAACCAAAACATCCTCAGCAGCTCTCTTCTTCCCACAGTCATACGCAGTAACTGTCAGTTTATACTGATGCTCTTTGCCATAGTTTAACTTCTCTGTGTTTTTTATATAACCTGAAAAAATACAATGATAATCAACTGTGAGTATCTGTTAATTTGTCAAGCTCACGGCTGCATTAAACACACAGCGGTATCATGCATGTATTTCATACATGTACTTTCATAAAGATTCGAATTAGTAAGTGGATTAGTCCTTCATTACTTGATTTTGGACACTAGGCATCAAACCCAGATCCTTAAAGAACTGTAAATCTGGGTATTTATTCATTTATTCTGGGTAAATCCCACCCTGATCTTACCGTCTTTATCAATAGCAAAAGGAACATCTGGAGTAACAATTTCATAGCTGCAGATCTGGCTGAACTGAGGTGAGCAATCCGCATCCACTGCTTCCACTTTCAGGATGTTGTCATACCTCTTCCCCTCAATAACTGTTGCCTTGTAGGACTTCTCTTTGAACACAGGAGCATATTCATTAACATCATTCACCTGAATGTGTACTGTTGCTCTGGGAATAGAGAAAAAAAAAAAAAAGTGAGTTTTCTTTATTTTATAGAACTCCCACTCAGGCAAACAATTTGAAAAAAGCTCTTTCACAGATAAAGCCATTCAGATTTTGTTGTTGTTGTTCTGCTGCCTCTTTAAGGTATACAGCTAGTAGAGTAACAATTAATACTAGTCACCAAGATGATGCTAGTAGCCTAATCCTCATCTTAGGTCTTTCTTTGCCTAACACAAATAACAACCTTCACATGTGCTGCAGATGTTTCCACCAGGGTGTCACACAGTCATTTCTCAAATGGATTTTCTAGAAACCATTTCACATTGTGGTTTTCCCTTTAGACGTGGATTAGCTGAAGTTTGCTTTGTTCCCATCCTTTAATCTAGGCAGGGAAGAATCTTATGCTATTGATCTATTTTGGTGATCTATTGATGCTATTTTGGTGAAGCTGCCCAGAAAAGACATGAAACCTTTATTCTTTACCATTTGTGAGCTTAATGCAATGACTTCCTGAGTCACTTTCTATGTATTAGAAACTGAATTCCAAATAATTTCTACACTTAATATACCAAGCAAAACCTTTAGCAACTCAAGTCATATTTAAACTACTTTAGCAGTTTTTCTGCCTGTCTAGAAAATTCAAATTTTCTAATGTAAATTCAGAGATAAGAGGGAATATAGTAGTAACATCTCGAATATAACTGAGGAGATATCAAAACAACTCATTTCAATTTTGTTACTACCTATATTACCATTACATGAAAGGCTTCCAGTTGAACGCTTGGTTTACATTCCCTCTACATATGCAGCCCATGAATCGCCATGTGCAGGAGACCACTGGAAAGCCAACTTCCCCTCAGCCAGCCACAAACGGACTTACTTGTGGGATTTCTTTGCATTTGCTCCGTCCGGTCCCTTTCCACAGTCATAGGCCTGGATAGTAAACGTGTAGTCCTTCTGCAGTTCACAGTCAAGCTTTTCTTTAGAGCGGATTATTCCCTCCCCAGTGGATTTATCCACTACCACTGCTTCAAAGGGGACATTCTGCCCATGAATTTTAAATCCACAAATCTCACCTAGAGATTCAAAGCAACAGAGGTTAGAACTGGTCAAAATTACTACACTTTTTTGTTTGTTTGTTTTTTAATAAACGACCAAATATTTTGCAGCCAAGGGTTTGTGAGGGTCTGTGGACAAAGCGAGAGCATTGTGCTTTAAAATGGGCCAGTTCTGGGAACTTTAGTAAAAAGAAGCATATGTCTGCCTTCCAAGCAACTTGTTTACTTTGCATCCATTCATGCAGGAATACGAAAGAGAAATGTAGACAGGCATTTCACAGGAGTACTTGAGATAACTCTAGGGTAAGAGTAGATCTTATGTGAGCATACAGCCAAGGCCACTGGCAATATCTTCTATGCCAAGCTACTGGGAATAGCTGGGCAGCTTGTTTATTTTGACCAGAGCAAAAGGTTAAAATGCACAGTTACAAGTCAAGAGATGAAAAAGCTTCCAGTACCAGTTCAGCACCATAATTACAGAAATTCTGTCACCAGATCAAAGAACAAAGTCTTCCTGTGCAATGTACCTGGCTAAAATTAGGGAATCAAAATAAACTACTAAATGAGAATGGTAGAAATACCAACTTCTCAGGCATCCATTTCAACAGCTATCTAGTAATACAGCCCAAATGCACTGTCAAAGAAGCTCTCACATGGAATGATTTATTAGGCTTTCTTTTCTACTCAAGCTCTTCATTCTAACAAACATGAATGAGAATTGTCTAGAACATCATTTTAAAATGCATCTAAGGCCAAGACTACATTACAAGCCATCTTGCTGGCAAAGCTAGCTCAATCTACCAGCTTGTAATGAGTAGTGAGACTGACCTAGCTGCGCTAACAAAAGCCATGCAATAAACTCAGTTTACACTCTTGTTTTTACCAGTATAACTTATTTTGCTTTTAACATGATTTTCTTATATCAGCAAAAAACACTCTGCTATTACAGCTGCAATGGCACCATGGTACCAACAATGTGCTCTTAGTGTAGACACAGTCTATTTTATAAGTATGTGTTTATGATTCAGATTTTAAGCAATACAATGTACTCATAGTAATGTACCAAGTAAGATAAGTACACACTCGAGCAAACATACTATAGGGAAGGTGCTCTAATGCTTTGGCAGTTAAATTTTACTTTACAAAGCATATGAAAACTATAAAATGCCCCAGAGAAGTAAGCTATCAGTGAAAGTATCAGAAAATGCTCGTTTTCCCAAAATATTATATGAAGTCCAGGCAATATAAAACAATACCGAATGGTTCAAATGGATGTCTGATTTACAGATATTTCTAACCAAGGGTTTGGTTACATAATTTTTTTTATCAATATATTTTAAAATAGAAAAAAAAACTGGGAGAATAAATGGGACAAAAGAACATGACAGGATCTTCTGTTTAAGTGCTGATTCCCCATTTCATAACCAAAGTTAGTGGGTTAATATTCATAAAAGGGATAGAAAGAACCCTTTATCACCTTCTTTGGTGACTGTCACCTCAAAACTCTCTAAAGGGAGAAAAGATAAACCCAAGTCAGTATTACAGGAAAGGTTGAAAGGGAGCAAATCAGGAAAAGGCAAAGATGCAGACATTACACAGAAAAGCTTTGGCTAAATTGTATTTAAAAATTCCAGTGGTGATCTGCTGTAACTGTTACAATCCAAGACTTTCAGTTATTTTAAATCCGATTTAACCTTTTATCTCCAGGTTGTCATTTGTAGGCTTTTGAAGGCCTTCTCAGTATCCTGCATTGCATCTTCCCCTCCTTGGGAAGAGATCTCAGATATAACTAGGTTTTGGAATGGGAGTCGATACCCGTGTTCAGGTACTTGGAAATCTTTCTCCACTTTTAATGCAAAAGACAGCCAACCACATTCTTTGTTCCCCTGAAAATTATATTGTGGTTAAATTACAATGTCGTTAAAACCCCCCGACTACTACCATTTACATATCATTTAACGTATCAATTATTTCTCCTGATTATCATTATCTTTGACCTGAAATGCAGTATAAAAAAGTAGACTGGTACCCTTAAAATCATTCCCAACAGATCTCCTGTCAGTTCTCACATTTTCCAATAAACATGCAATAACACAGCTATTAAAGTCTCTATTCTACAATGGCTTTAAAAAGCAATGAGGCACTACAAGTTGCAGAGAAATACCTTCTTGAAAAATAAAAGGCAAATTTCCAATTCACTATAAAAGCATATATGTCATAGATTTAATGAAAAATGGCTTATAATGGACCACTATTAACCAGCAGCCCTTCTTTTTAAAAGGAGGAAGTTTCTGAAATAGCTCTCACAAAGGTTCTCTCTGAAACCCACTTAGGAAAATCTCTAGGTCCATAAGTGGTTCTTTATTTTAATGCATTAAATATACTGCCTCTTATGGTCTCCATGCAATTTATCTCAGTATATTATTACACAGGACATAAATATGACCCTGGATTTTAACATGTTTTAGTAATAAGATCATTCATGAAAATCTTACACTACTAAAATTCCTGGTTGACACCAATGAACATCAGCACTCCAACCGCGACCTTTTAAACACTGAATCTCTCTCACTTTTTTATATTCACCTTCCTGCCCCCTTCCAGTAACTCTAACATCAAGTGTGAAATATTAAGATTACAAAAAGAAATATATAGAAGACAGTATTGAAGCACAAAGTCTGATAAAGGAGGGAGGAGGGAGAAATTTATTAATATGGCAATTATCTGTCCGGGAGAACAGAGGACTTTTAAAACTGGTCAGTTCTTTACTGTGCCAAGCGGCCTCTAACTCTGGCATCAGCACCAGCCTTGGCTCCTAGGCAGTTCAGATATTACATTTGTGCCTCCCAAGCGTGAGACACAAACCATCCCTCTGATAAACGTCCATGTGTCTCCAGATGCCTCTTAAGGCATTAAGGCTTCCGTTTAAGATGCATTATAGCTCAGTTCCTGCCAGACGCTTCTCCGAACAACAATTGATCCTGTACAATCATATTTTCCATTTCATACAAGTAAAGCCTTTTTACTATTACACACACAAATGCTCATGACTGAAAATGTTATCGTGCATACAGACTACAATGCTACATATAAGACTGCTGTACATAAGCAAGTGCACAGCTCCCAAGTAGGTTTTTTACACAACTGTATCTCCCTTCTCAGTATCTCTGCCATGAAAAGAAGCAAAATGGAATAATTTAATTCCCTAAAGTACATATTATTTCAGAAATTAAAGCTCCCCCTCCTCTCTTCAAAACATATTAGAGAGATTGTTGCAGAACTGTTTCAAGACAGATAATTTACAGATGAATAGTCCCACACATAGATGATATCCACTTTCAACTCAGTTATGAAACACATATATTTATACTGCAGAAGTAAAGAAGCCATTTAAAATGCTTTCATATGATTACAGAGTGCTTTCCAGTGATTTTTCTTCTTTGCTATAGAATAAGTTCAGTCTCAGTACAATTTATTCAGTGTCAAATATGCTCCCTGAGGTGTCATGCTATGTCATGCTGTGTCATTTCTAACTTTTCTACTCCTAGAAGGGAACCAAGCTCAACTTGTAAATCAGCTTTTTTCTTATATACTGAGATCTGTTCAGCAATATAAAGAGTAACCAGGATAGAACTTTGCAGCGTTCTGCTAGGCAATAAAGATAACACAAGCCTGTGCAACTCACATTAGCCAGAGAACACAGTAATCCTGTCTCCTTGAAGCACTGTGCATTTCAGCAACTTCCCCTTCCCACTAGGGGACAATCAAATGACACTGAGGATTTATGGAGGGTTTTGTGGAATGAAAATGCAGTGGGATAGCAAAAAATGAGAGCACTTATTTTCAACCAACTCTGAGCAAGCAGCAGTCACTCTTGGAAACTCACCCAATGCCATTACAGTATTTTAGAATCTCCTTTAGAACAAGTATTTCTCACCACCATAAAAAAAAAAAAAAAAAAAAAAAAAAAAGAGTACTTACTAAAAAAAAGTGATCCAAGTTTAAAGTCCATAATTAGTGACAAGTGTATTTGAATTAGTACATGTATGCACATGACCAGTCTGCTCCTTTCCCAGCTCAATCTGACTTTTGACATGTAGCCCTATTCAGGTGTTAGCTACCTGGTCTTGGTGGGCGCCTCCCTGATTTCTTCCCCCACTTGGACATTAACCATCAATAACAGTCCTGATGACTGCATTCTGATGGGGAGATCCTTGATAATTCTTTCTATTATCCTGTACCCAATGTAGTACATAAAAAGCAACCTTTCCATAAAATCTCATGAAACCATTGTCCATATCAATAAAACCTACTATTTCTTTCACACAAGTGAAGTGCATTTTGCCACTCAACGCCACCATCACTCTTTCCATGACAATGCATACCAAACAAAATATCACTTATGCATGTCTTAAGTAGGCTCAAATACTACTGCAACAAAATTTACTCTTCGGTTTGCTAACAAACTGCCAACAAATAATATTTGTTAGATGCCCACTCAGCAACACTTGCAATTTGACAAGTCCACCACCCGTATCTGTTTGATAACACGTATTCACCTTCTGTCCACATCATTTCTTTGCAACCATCATCGAGCTGAGAGCAGCATTACACACCAGGCTACTGCAGACAGGACGTCAGCACAGCTCCCTGCCCTGAACAAACAAGGCCTGGCAGCGCCGGTGGGGACACGGGGCAGGAGCAGTGACACAGGACCTACGCACCCCTCCGGGGAGAGGCTAACAGAGGGCCTGATGGGCTTTTGTTTGGTTGGGTTTTTTAAAGAATGAATAGAGATGCTGCAGAATGAATAGAGATTCTGCAAGGTCATTTTTAAAGCTGTAGGAATAGTCATGTTCTAGGCTCAAAGATTCCTAACTCCCACAAAAATACTTCTTGCATCCTTGCTTAATAAAAGGAAAGTAAATATCATGGCTGAAGAACAGTCTTTGGCAGCATTTAGAGGGCTTTTCTTAATATATTACAATTGTAATATATTAAAAGAAAAAAGGAAATAATTCAAAATTTTTGCTACTGAAATCCTTATTAGACTCTCTGAACAATTTATACTCAACTACGTGAAAATATCCAGATATAATACTGTTTATTTCAAAAAAATCAAAATTTCATTTCTTCTAGTAAATGGGAGGGAAATCCATATCAAGAGCTTCAGACATTAGCCTCATTTTAGACAGATTGCCCTGCATATTAGCAAATGCAGTTCTCTGTTATGCTTTTTTCAGCAAATGCATTTAAAGTCAACCTGCAACTTGCTAGAAATTGTAATTAGAAAAGATTCACCACAGAACTTAAATGGTCCTTGTCTCAAACAGATCACTAACAAACATCATGGCAAAGAACAGCAATTCCACAGAGGTTTCTACAAATTAGGTAGTAAAAACACACAAATTTTCTCAGCAGAAGCCTCTATAATCCTACCTATTTATGCATATATTCATTTCTTTTCAAAGTATTAAAATTTTAGGTTCCTATCTACTGAGCAATATGAGTAAAGTAATATCACCTTTCCCTGCCCCACAGTTCAAATACTATAACACAGTTAAATGAACTTGTTTCAAGATGTTTTGAGGTGCTTAAAAGTGAAATAAAAAAGCTCGACTTCAAAACTATAGACATTTCCAACGCGCTCACTGCTCAGCTAGGGGTCACCTTTAATTAAAACATCAACCTTTTGAAGCAAGAATACATTTGATTTATAGTAAGAATACACCACTTACAGCTGAAACAGATATTTAAGCCTGAAAGCACCGTCTTTTGCTGTGAAAATATTCCATGGCTAATCTAACGGGCTTCTCACACTTCAACGCCCACACAGATGCTGCTGGACAATAACGACGCTATTCTCCGTTCTGGGACATGACTACAGTACCACCAACTAGAACAAGTTGCTAATGCTGATTCAACACCACTCCCACACTTGATATCCTCCAAGACAGATTCAAGCAGTGTTCCATTTAATGGAAGACAAATGCGTTTACAGAGTCTCATAAAACATCTGTCATTCAGAACTTACGCAATGCAGATCTAATAACCTTATATTTAGAGAAAAAAATTCTCTATGATGTTAGCATTCCGTGTTCAGGACCTGGGATGATAACTATTTTTAATCTACCGTTCTTATGCAGCTGCTTAAGAATTGTGGGGTTTTGAAAGCCAAAACATATAACGTTTATTTAACCTTTTTATAGAATCAATTCACATTTGTTAAAAAGGATCATTAAAGGAAAGTAAGGTTATAGAATTTGGTTCTACACAACAGAAAAACTGTCTCATTTAACATCACACGATGCTTTGACATTCAGCTTTCCCCTGAAAATCTGACAAACTACTGGAATAGACCTTGCATGTACTTCTCTTAAGCTTCCCTATACCCAACAGCCAAAAAAATCTCTTTTCCCATCACTTCCTTCTTGAAGTGACTTACTAAGGTAAGTTCCCAAAATCACGTGAAATTTCATCCTCTAGGCATCCTACTAGAATTCTTAATTTTACTTAAACAATCTTCTGCAAATACCTAATTTAAGACTGTAAACCACTACAATTAATTAAAAAACCCAAAGACACCAAATGATATTTTTCAAACACAGTTCTTTAACACCTTGCCAAACCAAAGTAGTATCTTTCACATTACCGAACCCCTTTAATTAATATTTCTAAACAGTGCTTTCCAGAAACAGACTACTGCAGAAGATCGCAAGAGAACTACCAAAACTGCCAGCTCTCAGTTCTAAGTCAAATTTAAATTAGACTACATTTTGCAAATGGCTTGCGTATCACTCTCTCTACTCTTTGTTAGGAGAGAAAAATGCTCTAAGATGATCCCAGAGCAAAGATATTAAGGTATAAAGAAGACAGGAGATCTGAATTCATTACAGACTCCCAGGCAAACAATGCAATGCCTGTCTGTGCTTTAAGTGCTCCAACCTAAAATTAGTGGAATATAATTCATCTAATTTCCTTTATTTTACCTACTTAAGCTGCAAATCTTTTAGTTCAGAGATGCTCTCTTCATGCGGCTGAACAACACTCTAGAAAAAAATAACTTCGACTAACTACTACTTTTCACCAATTTAAACAGAAACTTGAAAGACTCTTACAAAAAGTCATGTTACTTTTAAACGTCATCATCAGTAAGCATTATGCTACTACATCATGTGAAAGGTCCATTATCTGTGAAAATACTCTGCACACCAGCAAGACTACATCCTGCCTACTTAGGCAACATTCACCCTCTTCCTAGATGCAGGAACTTTAGAGAATTCTTAGCTGACATTTAGAGAGACTTCAAAAGGCTCAAACAAGCAATTCAACACAAAATTAAATGGAGATCAGATTTTAGAACTATTTCACAGATGGACTTCCAACTATAAAATATATTGTATTAAAAAACAATTCTCATGTCTCACATATATCATAGAAAATATTGAAACAATGTCTTCTCTTACGCTGCCTCTATTCTCCAAAACAGACTAAGCTATAAGCCAATAGTGCATCTTGTGTTTGAAAAGCCTGGCCATTTCTAAAATATGCCAAATTGTTATGCATATTTATCCAAAAAAGGCTGTATTTCTACAAAAATTCTCAGTCCAAACAGTACAATCTTACAGAAGAAATGCAATGTCGACTCTGCTAATGACTGTTTTCACGATCTATTAAGAAAAACCCATAGCAAAAACCCTAAGAAAAACGAAAACTCTCACCAGACTAAGTAACTAACTACTTCAGTATTCCTAGACAGCATGTAAAATGTGAGAGGAAAAAGTTACATGCTATGCAAAAAAAAAAAAAAAGTCAGAAAAAAATAATGTAATATACACGCAATACACACAAAACCTAAGCGCACTATATATACATGAAAAGAAACACTGCAGTCTAGTCTGAATATTTGCCAGATCTAGATAATCACGCTGTAGGTATCAAAATAGATATGTGGTGCATACACCAACAATTCCTACAGAACAAAACATTATGCTAAGGCAGGGAAAAATACACTAACATTTGCCACAAAAAAAGCATTTAGACTTCTTAAAAAAATAATGCTGATGAATTCCTTACCTGCAAAACGCAACGGTGCATCTTTGTCCAGAGCTATTAAAGGAGGATCCAAGAGTACTGTGTTGTCATTTTCTGTAATTATGCCATGATAGGTTGTTTCAATCCATGGTTTATGTTTGTTAACTAGAAGAAAAACAAAATACAAGTTTAAGAAAAAAGTTTACACTGACAGTTATCTGAATAAAGACTTTGAAGTACTTAACTCATGAACATGCCTAAGATGACCAATCTTGCTCTGCTACAAAAGCGGCCCAACAGCTTTCACAGTCAGTTTGCAAAAGCAACTTCTAGGACATCATGAAACATACAGGACAGGAATCATATTATTTACTGGATTATCATGTACTACCTAACATTTCAATTTGGATTTGTGACTTTGTGAAATCAAAAACTTGTAACTTTCATAATAATTGTCCGTGTGAACACCACAAAGTGTCTATATTAAGACACTACAACACAGTTGAGTCCTGCTGCTTCACCCTCACCCAACTAAAGAATTATACATGTAAATCATCACCAAAGTAGGCAAAAGTGTAAGGCAAGCCTGTATCTCCAAAAAAGGAAAAATGAATTCCAGATTTCTGTCATATGCTTAAACGGTGGAATTCAAAAAGCAGTGGTAGAAGAACACTTCAACAAAAGTTTACATCTACAGATAGAGATCTCATATAGGAAACTGTAACACTCTCTCAACAAGCTCTCACCTGCAATCTTTTACTGGTTACTAACAAGAAAGTGATAAACAGAACTTTACATCTTCACACATAAAAATACGTGAGGAGAGAACTTGCAACAAATTGTTTTAATGCAATAACTGTTTAATTAATGCTATGCGGTTTTGCTCAATGTGGCAATATTATCTTTATCAACTCAATACACTGAGAGCGGCACATTTCCAATATGACATTTCCATAAAAAATAGCCACTTAAATGTCAACCACATTGTTTAATTCACCCAAAGTAGTACACTGCTGCAACACTCTCCAGGGAACTTGGTGTTTCAAAACAAACTTCATCATGTTCAAAAGGACTAACACATCATTCCTCCCTGAGACAGAACACACCAATAATGCTAAAGTGTGAGTCTCTAATTGAAACATTTCTGCTAATTCAAAACTAAAGAGAAGTGTTTCATTGATTCAGCAATGGGAGTTAGAAGAATAAAGAGAAGGCAGACGTGCAATTTCCTGTTGGCATTTCTAGGGCAGTTTTACCTTAATTGAAAATATCAGAGGCCCTCCATTTGCTCATTTTATCCTTTGCAAAGATGTAGTATAAAGTAGTAAAACAGATTTCTTTGCATCTTTTCTCTAATGCTTCTGAATGTAGATTATAGAGCCCTTCCCCTGATTTAGCAATCTATGGTAAATCCCATTGCTGTAGCACCAGGACTTCATAAAAGCTTAAAACACCATAACCACATATGAACACAATTATGATGAGTATGATTAGCATATGCAAAGTCTAGTGATCTTCAAAAAAGAGACACAGTTAGAAGTAAAGCCATGCCATTATACAGTGCTATAGCTTAACAACATAAAGCTAACCTCACTTTGGGTTTAGGAAAGCTGGACATCACCAGCTTTCAAAACACAAACCTTAAATCCCTTTGTGTTTATGAAGATTAAACATCACCAAATTTTAAAACATTCTCAAAATCTATGGCTGAATATGCAGGAAAGGTCTGTTATCCATACTGGTAAACTACTGAGCCCAGCATAACTGCACACTGTTAGAAATTTTCAAGCCATCAACTGAAACATTAGGCGCAGCTTACAAGCAATACGTTACTAGCAGGTGTACCTTACACCAACTGTAAGGGAATTGAATCAAGCATTATTCTGCCCTTGGCTGCATTAAATACCGTTATAGCTCAGGCTGAAAACTATCCTATTTTTGTCTTCTTTACATGTTGCAAAATTCCTTAGGTCTGCAGAAAAAGTTGCATTCAGCCACACTGCCAATTTCAAACCAAAACAGTCAAAACATTCCAAGCTTGACACTAACAAAGTACCCTGAGCTGTTAATCTCTTGCCATTTAACAGGGATAAACTACACTGGTTTCCTTGAAATACAATATTCACGCTATCTCTAAGCGCCTCAGCAGGCATCTGTTGTAAATCCCAACCAGCACTTAATCCAGTCAAGTGGGGGAGGCTTCCCTGCCACATTACAGCAAGTTGACTTCTAGTTAGTTTTTAGTAGCCTTTAAAATAGCTCTGGTATCTACCCATGGAGCTGGAAGTTCTTACATCACCAAAAATTTTAAAAAATAAGCTAAGTATAATTCTTTTTCCTGATAGCAAACAGAATGTGAAGCTCAGGCTGGAGCCTCTACCGCTGCCAAGCTATGAACGAACATGCACCTGCAAGGTCAACACGAGCCACCCGTCCAACAGGGTTTCTTCTGAAGATCACTGCTGCTAAGTTCGAGGAGAAAAGGGAACTGACGTCTGATGCAATGTGTGCCTTGAACCCAGGTTTCTAACCTAGCATTCATTCTAAGTAAATATGCTCACTTTCTCCTGGGAATGAAGAGATCAGCTTCTACTAACACCAAGGACAACTGCGATCAACTATTCTGCAGAGAGGGAATGCATTTTAAAGAAAGGATGCTTCACCAAAGGTAACGGCTGATGCTCCAGAGTGCAATCAGTTCAACTACTAACAACCATTTTCCCACCTATTTAAAAGCATTAATGAATGTAAACAAATGTGTAGACAAGGCAGTAGAGTCTAAGGATAGTTTGGAAACCTTATTCAAAAGTAACAACCATTAGGCAGTGAGAATGAACTCAGTTCTAGTATTTGAATGTGAACACACTCAAAATTAAATGTACTTTTAAAGTCCATTCTGAGGATGGCAGTTATCTTCTTAGAACTGCTCAGAGGGTCACTTGATTTAAGTGGTATGTAGCACTCGCATAACTGAATATTTAAACACAGACCAAGATGTCAAAAAAAAATCTTAAGAATTAACTGGTAAAATATTTTAAATAAATTCAACACCAAGTATTAGAGTTGTTAGCTAGTTACTCAACCTATTGACAGTAGATAAACATGAGATTTTTTTTTAATCCACCTCTGAGACCTCATGAAAAAGAACAGAGATCTCATAAGAAGAGAATGATATCTGCTGTCAATTCATATGAATTGAACCCAACGGACTGTGTAAACAGTCCTTGACTCGTGCCCTGAAGGTCAGACACAAATTTTGATTATTGTGCATCTTCTGTCCCTTGTCTTCCTCTCAATGTGAGAATACAAGCATGCTTTTCAGAGACGAGGTAAGGATCTAAAATAAGATCTTATCTTGAATATTCACTAGTTAGTACTATTCTGATGAAATTTCAAGCAATACCAGTAAAAGAAAAAAAAGCTCATGAACACACAGAGAGTAGTAAAATATAGTTCGGTATAAAGTATCTGTACAGTAAAACATGCCTTCCCCACCCTGAAAGCAAAGTTTAATAAGAAAGGGTGTAGCATAGTATGATTATAATGTATGTTTTGTTCCTGACCTGAAGTCACCAGCCTGCAATTCAGAGCTGTGCCTCTATGTTCTATTAGGAGAGGGTGAAGATTAACTCTGCATATGAACAACTTAAAATATCTCCTATCAATGACAATGAAAAGGTATTTATATAACTTCCAGAGGTCTCTGCACATCTATAATTTTATCAAAAGTCATTGTATTATAGTCAGGTACAAGCAATGGGATAAAACTGAATGCATGTTTCTCCTCAGATGCTGAGCTTCCTGATAGCATTTAACTTTTCTTATCAATAGGGTGCTTATCTAAGACAAATAATTTCTATTACTGGGACGCGAAAACTGTGGATGACGGCAAAGTATAGGGGGTTGAACTAAGAATTAGGCAAGGGAATTGGCATCCATTAACACTGCCTTCTAAGATACTCAAACATAGGAAAAATGCACAGAAGGTGATTGAATTTCATCCCACACTTTTAGACTTCTACCTTGGCAGCTGTATTACAGTTACGGAGCACCTGTAATTTGAGCTCTGGAAACTTAAATGTCATATTTAGGGAGCTGACGGTAATGTTTATAAATTAAATCATCAGAGTTTATAGCTTGAGCCCATACAGTTAACACTAATCCTCCAAGCATTATATTCAAACTAACAGCTGTAGGAATTCAACAAGTTCTGACTTCATTAAACCATATTCTTAATAAGGAAGAATCTCTGGTTTATCACCACTTGCAGTGAGTTGCTGTTCCATATTTTTCTGTATGTTTTCTGTATGCATGGAGAAGAGAAGGTTGAGAGGGAATCTGATCAACATGTACAAATACCTGAGGGGAGAATGTAGGGAGGAAGGGGCAAAGCTCTTCTCAGTGGTGGCCAGTGACAGGACAAGGGGCAGTGGGTGAAGTTGATGCGACCGGGTGCCCCGTGCTCTGGGTGTCCCTGCTGGAGCAGGGGGTGGGACTGGATGATCTCCAGAGGTCCCTTCCAACCTCAACCATCCTGGGATTCTATGTCAGACCATTTGCTTAAATCTCATTTTACAAGCACACACAAAAGAAAGCTGTGAAGCTACTGTATATCCAAATGACTGTTTAGCTGCAATTGTGAATAATCCATAACTTCAAGAAAGTAAGTGTCTGGAACTCCAAAAATCTTTGTCATAGGATATTCTGATCAAACTTTAATTTGGATGAAAGTCTGACAAGGAAAACAAAGATACAAAACAGTAGTGAGGCAACAAAGCCACTATTTTTTAAGAGAAATTCAAAATGTTTTAAATTAAGTTGAAGCATGAGAATAGAAAACACAGACCTCACTTTAAACATTCATATAATTAAAAAAAAAAATTCTCTAAGTGTTGCTAGTTACAGTGCAGGAGGGGAAATCATTTCAAACAGCTGTCATATTTATAAACTTCACTTGAAGGCAGAATCTTATTTACAAACACAACAGACATCATCTCAGTAGAGAGAGCACTTCTAGCTCTCTCTACTTGTTGACTACTTCCATTTAAAAATGAGAAAACCAACTGGGAGTAGCGGCAGTAAATTGCTTCCAATCTCAGAGTAAAGCAAGTGAGAGGAGACCTTATACAATAAACAAAGGACAAAGCTCTCCAAAGGCACTGAGGTTTCTAATAAGCTTTTTTTAAAGGCTCCTATTAAAGTTTAGTTCCTACTGAAGCCAGTGGGAATCAAAAATCAGTGATGAATTGATTGAAATGGATGCAAAACAAGATTTAAATAAGACCAAGGCTTCCAAATCACTGAATTCTTTGGTGCTTTGAGATAAAGTTTCTATCTTTGACAATGGTAATATTGGTACAACATCATCAATAAAATTTCATAGTGATTTCTCTGAATTTAAGTAGATAGAATAACTGCACAGTTGTGAGCTTAGGCTCACCAAAATCACAGAAATTGCTTCTGTTCAGAAAGACACATCATCTTCCCCACTCCACACAATAATTTCATAGCTATAAACTGGTAAACTACCAGATATTTAGATTTTTATAGCAGAAAGTGCTGCTTTGTCCAGAATATTCAGAATTCACACTTAAACCTTTTGAGATAAGATCATTATGGACATTATGCCGCTCTATGACTTTTTTCCTGAGCTTAACTTCTAACTTTCAGAAGAAATCTGCCTAACTACAGTCCATTCTTCTTTAAAAAAATCATTCCAATGATCTGAAAGTCTGCCAAAATACTAAGCTCTCAGACCAAGGATACATTCTGGAGTCTAGAAAAGTTTCTATCATTACATTTTCCTGATTATTTGGCAAAGACAGCACAACCTGTAGCTTAATGATATAGGGACAGACAACTGGCATGATGATGTTGGAAACACAAAGCAAATTATGGTTGCACAGAACATCACCTCTCCTCCATTTCAATTTCCACAGCAGTGTATTATTTTGCCAATAATATGGATAAGAAAACATATTAATATTGTTCACTAGTTATCTGATCTGAACAGATGACTCAATATTATGCTCTCTTAAGCATTATGCATCATAGAAAGGTCTGGCAAGGAAAGTTGACATTTAAAGCTTTTGCTCAGTAATTTGTGTCTCTTCTGTCTTCAGTGGTCTCTCACCCTTATAAATTCTTGGGTGGGGGGGGCGGAAAAAAAAAAAAGGGACAATTTTTCTCTTTGCAATGCTTTAGAAAAATCTAAAATTTACCTTTCTCTAAAGAAGAAATAGAAACCTAACTACCAGGCCCAGAATATTAAGGCTCTTACTATCTCAAATAAACATCTCCAATAAAATAGTGGTACTGAGAAAGTAGTCTGTGGTTTGGAATTAAGACATTCATACTACCAGAAAACTTCCTGAAATTATCAGGGATCAACAAAGCTTCCTCAAGATACTATATTTAGACCTATATTCTATCTAAAGGACAATAAGACAGAAAGCATCTGAGGCAAAAGATGGTATTCCGCTCTACCTGGTTGGTAACTACGGCAGAACCTGCCAGAGAACATGCACAGCCTCTCCATCTGAGCAGTCTCTCCATTTGACCTCTCTCCAGCTCTGCTGATAAACACTCAGTTACTTCACACTGACAAACACTGTTTCAGCATCCTACTAGGTACCACTTTTCCACTGCGACAGTTCAAATAAGCTCAGAAATATTTTGTTCAACTTGACTAATTACACGCTAGGTATAATTAAGATTTTTGCAGCATCTCATCTGGAAAAGAAATATGCTTCTTCAGCATAAAACCCATCTATATTCCCCTTAAAACAGCTACAGAGAAGATAAGAGGAGTATGAGCCAGGGGTTGATTAGCTACATCTCGTCTATATTTCTGTAAGATTACCTCCAAAAGATATTTCTTTTCTTCACTGCAAAAGAAAACGCTTTTCACCCCCCAGTCTAACTATGGAAATATTCTGGACTGCAGAGTGAAACCGATCCCTCTGGTCCAGGCTTTGAGCCCATTGCTGCACACCGCTGAACAAAGCACTATGCAGTTTTCACTACTTAAATTACAATACATCTTAGTGACCTTAGGAACAAGGATTTTTTAAGTCACAGAGGAAAAAAAAATGAAGCTTTACTTGAAAGAAACAGAACACAAGACAAAATGGTAAATTTACCATAAAGGCTTCCAGACAAATGTCTCTCCTAACAACTGCCAAACGACAATGAGTGGCTGTAGCAGCTTTCCCTAGTCAAGGTGCTCTCCAGTATTTATGGGGATACTAAATGTATCCTCATGAAACACTGCTAACGGGTTTGCCCTCCACTGCCAAAACATCCTGAGGACTAAGTTAACTGCACGCAGCAAGCCAAACCAAACCTCAGACTGCAGCTCGGTTCTATGTAATTAAGTTTAACACAACAGGACTTCCAGGCAGCAGCTCACTGTATTAGATTCAATACAAGGACAACCTCCAACAAATTGCAGATGAAATAGCTGATTTGCAGACCTGCCTGGCATAATGCTATATAAACTTGACATTCACAGGGACATATTAGCTTTCTTCAGTAACGTTTTTTGCCTTTTTTTATTCATAATTTCAAATAAAAGCCTGTCAATTAGGGTTTTTTTTCTGTACTACTCCAGTAATCATTAAAGAACAAATTTTAGTTCCAAGAATTCTAATGAAAAGGTTCTAATGAAAAGACTGTGTATGGGTTAATTATGGGTAGTATCCACACAGCAGACTTTTTGATTTTATTTACAGCAGCAGCATCTTAATGCTACAAAGGCAGAACGCACCAAGATCTGTCCTTGACTCGCTATTTTTATTTATTTAAATTTTTTGCATTGTATTTGCGAGCCGTTTTAAGGCGCCGGCTGCAGGCTCCGCTCCGGCGGGGCAGGGGCTCGCCCGCCCGCTTGGCGGGTATAACCTTCAGGTGAGGCGGCGCGGCCGCCCCCCCGAGCGCCCGCACACACCCGCAATGCGTCTGCTCCCACTCGCGGAGATCAATCAGTGGCCGCAGGGCCGGGTTTCAAGCGCGGCCCCGCCGCGGGGCCGCGTGACGGCTGCCCACGGAGCCGGGCGCCCC